GTTTCAGTCCCTTTTTTTCAGGTCACTGCTCAAATGTCCCCTTTTCAGAGAGGAGTACCCTGATCACCTGCTGACCTCGATTTGCTCTCGGTGGCACTTACCCCTCCCTGTTTACTCATGACAGACTAAGTCATGCTTTGGTAACAGATCCTAACTAAGGCTAAGTGGCTTATAACATAAGGGCTATCCAGGCAGGTGTCTGCAGGAGCCAGACTTTACTGGCTTGAGAGAATCATTATGTTTTCATAAATACGAGCCAGATGTTATTAAAAGTTTAATTCCATAAACCTACAATCAACAAAATTGTGTTTAAAGTGAAGGCAGTAAGTACCCCAAATGTATTATTTCTCAATTATTTTACTACATTTTACTGTTACGAACACATATCAATAGCTTATTGTTGTTATCGCTTGATATTGCTGTTTTCTCTGAGCTTGAGGTGCTCTTTTATCCTTACGGGGGGAGTAGGCTGTATGATGAAGTGGATCTTTCCGCGAGCCTCTGGTGAGCGAGGACATGCTCAAACCAGCCATGCTGGGAGTATTTACATACCACCAGAGCAGTCAGTGCCACAAATAGGTTTTTGTTTGTTTGCTTGGTTTTTGTGTTTGTGTAGACTTGAGAGCGATGGGGAAATATTTATGATGTAGATTAAGCTTAGGGCTGTGCCCTATGCATAGCCTTCCCGCTGTGGCTAGCACAAAACATCGAGGCCTTGCTCTAGTATTCAAAACTCACGCCACTGATGAGCGAGTGAAGGTCCAACACCCAGATCTCCTGGTGCTCCACTTCCATCTGACCCACGAATGTTAGCAACCGATGTTCTTGCTGGAATTCCACTTACCAACTAATGCACCTGCAGGTTGGTTCTATACAAGAGTGCAGCAAAAACGTACCAAACCGTTCTGTATCCCATGGATACGTAGAATTTCAACACAGAGTATGGTATATCACTTGTGAATTGCATTCTTTGTCTCAGTTAAGTTTATGATAAACACATACCGCGTGTATATGCATCCCTTCGTCTTCCTCCCTTGGAGGGCCTGTTATTAAACATTGACCAGAGATCGCCATTGGAGTTACCCATCATGCATTTTCCGTGTCCATCATGCCATCTGTGTACCCCTCACTCTGGGCCCAGGTGGTGGCCCTTCCACCACTTGCAGCTTTGCTGATTGCTGTGACAAGGGAAGAGGCCATCAAGGCTCTGCTGAGAAGTGACACGCACCACCCTGCTCATACTCCACTGACACAGCCATGCCTGCTCTGTGTGACCAGAGAAGTACAAACCTATCAAGTGCCTGGAAGGAGGGAAGGGAGAACTGGATGGTAGTGATGAGCTTGTCCGCTGCACCCCACACGTCAACCAATGTTCCACTGCTGTATCCTGAGCATCTTGGAGACACTCAGTGAATACTTACTGGGCGAGTCTTGGAGGAGACGACCCTGAAGGAGGAAGGCTCTGGAAGTAAGCCCCCATGGATCATTAGAGAGAGGGTCATCATTTCATGATGTTTTTGTTGATCACTCCTTACCTTGCCATATGCAGCTGGACTTTGGTGGCCCAGGAAATCACATAGATACACGTGGCTCTGGGTTCTTAAAACAGGCTCCAGGGCCAGTGAAGGGCCAACTTCCGGGAGCAGAGGCAGACACCACCCCAGAGGAAGACACCACCCCAGGCTGGGGCTAGAGACGAGCATGTAGGACACAAAGGAAGGAGGTGCTCAGACCCGTGCAGGTGCAGGACTGGCCCTAAGATAGGGCCTCCTTACATCTTGCTCCCTACAAGTCTTACTCACCTGCCTCACCCTAGTGCTGGCCCTGGGACCTGCTCTGCTCCAGGGACTTCCAACTCTGAAGTCTAGTAGGTAATTCCAACTCTCTGCTCTTCCCAGCACAGCTGGACAGCAGCACAGGCAAGAGAATTCTGAAGTGGGTGAAGTTTTCTTCACTCTATCTATCTCAGAGACTTTAGTAAACTCCAAGGGCTGAGCAGTATGGCAAAGACAGGAGGAGAGGAATCATGTATTCTGGAATAAGCCTCATGTGCCTGCCTCCCTGTTGAAACCTTGGCGCTCCAGTTCAGATTGTTATTCCAACTGGGTTTGATGCTCTCACGCCCCCGGAGTGTCACCAGCACTACACTCTGCTTTTATATACATCGCTTCCCTCATTAGCCAGGGCCTCAGCTCTACGAGCTTGGAATCTGCTGTTTGTCAAAAGGGGAAATTGAGTTCTGGGGAGATTAAAGAACTCTTCCAAAGTGAACAAGGCAGTGGCAGAACCAGGACTTGAATGAAATCTTCTGATGGCTGGCCATTCTAAAATGAGGATTCCTCTATCAGCCTGAGGGACACCATCCTTCGGGCCACGTGAACTCAAGACACTGGGTTTAACAGACCTTGTTCACAAGGACAAAAAAAAAAAAAAAAAAAAAGCCAAACCATTGGCATTTCCACAGTACGATTCATGTGGCATACTTGCACTGAATCGAAATAAAGCCCAGTTGGACCATCATCGTTTTTCTTTTCTTTCAGTTTTTATTGAACACAAGTATTCTGACAGAATGCAAAGTCAAAATTCTCAGTTAGTACTCAGTATTTACACCAGTGAGAATGGAAACAAAGGTGGTATCGATGTTTCACTCGGTAAAAAGTTTATAACAAGAGAGAAGGCCCCCGAAGTACGGAATGCTGGGTAGGGATGTTCATGGAGGTCTGAAAACCACCATCCAGACAGACAGCCTCGAGTGACAGCCCGGGACGGAAGGGCTCCATAGAAAAGTGTGAAAACGGTCCCACTTCAGAAGCTGCACTACGTACACTACGGTCCCCCAGGACTCAGAGACCTGCATGTGGCACAGGGTGCGCCCCCTCCCGCAGAACGTGGCCATGCCGCTGGTTACGTGAATACATATGTATGGCACATACACATATAGACACATACACACTGCAAACTGGTAGAGTTGATCCCGCCTTCAAAAAATTAAAAAAGGAAAACTATAAGCTTTTATCTCTTAACATAAAAGATAGAACATCTTGAAAATAAAGTGACTCTCTCTTTGATTTTAGAGAAAGCTTTGCTCTGTTTTTTTTTTTGTTTTGTTTTTGTTCTGTTTTGCTTTTTTTTTTAGTATTTTTTAATTTTTTTTTTTTTTTAAAGAAAGGAAAGCTCATGCGTGCAGAGACAAATCTATGTATAATGAGAGAGGCAGACCAAAAGGTGGGCAGAGTCTTGGTGCCAGTTGATGGCGGAGCCAGTTCTGGGTGGGTGGTGGTGGTGGGGGGGGAATCAGCTGCCCTGGGCCGGGTTACTTGAGGGTCGGCTCTACCTTTTCCTCTTCCAAATCATTAGAGCCCAGGTCGTTGCATCTGGCCACAACCACTTGGCATGAGATGCACAGTCTCAATGAGGGATAGTGTGGGCTTGGCTTGGGTAGTCAGTGCCGCTGCCATCAGAAGATGAACAGCTGAGTCCATGGACAGCCCAGCAGTGGGAAGGGCCCCCCACGCCCTGCTGGGTCCTCCCGTCTCAGACACCCAGGAGCTCCTATTCTGCTGTGTGCTCTAAGAACTGTCTGCGCGTTCATTACTCGTGCCTGAGGGCCTGTGCATTTGAACCAGAGATTTGTGCAAAGGCCCGACAATCAAGGGGGCCAGAGCTGGGTACACTGGCTCCTCCATTTCCATCCCCAGGAGCTGAGAAAATGCAAAATAACCGCACATTTAGCAAATGACAAGACCATTATTTTTCACAGTTCGAAATTATAATCTTAGCGGATCACCACTGATCAGACTGCAGAGATGTCAGAACATGGGGGAGTGTGGCCCACGGAACGGACTCAGGGGCAGTCTTGCCACCCTAACCTCTCGCTGTTTTGTGCCTTGGGACAGGAACGCATGCCGGAGGGCTGAGTTGCTGCTTCCTTAGCGTTATCAGCCTCATCATCTTCGCTTTTATTTCATTTTCTTTGTTTAAAGGCTTTAATTCCTTTTAAGAGTTATTTTTGTTTCCTGAATATTTTTTTTCTGAACTATCTGCTATACCTTCCACAACCAAACTATGTTGAAATTTTATTTCAATACTATGACAAAAACACGTTTCACACTAAAATATTCACGCATCCACAGTGCACAAGCTTGCAGTTTCTAAAGTAGAATGATAAAAGAAAGCAAAATTTCTATACAAAGGGCTGGCTTTTCCCTTCTCCCCCCTCCCATCCCCCTTTAAGTTTCTGTATTTTTTTCCCCCCACTTGGTTTCCAATCCAGGAAAGTTGTGTTTATGACTCCAGACAGCAGGTTGTTTTCTTTTTTTTTTTCTCTCTCTTTTGTTTCTATAAATGCTGCCTAAGTGAACAGAAGGCCGATGTTACTTTACTTCAACAGATTTCCAAAAAAAGACACTAATTCCCTGAAGCACAAATGCTCTTCCGCTCAAATCTAGATTCTGGGCTCAAAAGGAAATTGTATGTATATATTTTATTTGGCTTTCTACAAAAAGGGGATGTTTGGGGTAAAAATGTGTGTTCACCAAGACCAGCCCCAACTATACAATCTTCTCTGCTTCATTCAACAAAGCCTAAGGAGTCCTTCAAAAGGAAGGACGTGGATGCCTGGGGGGGTGGGGGGCAGACCCTTTTCCACAGATACAAGCAGGTGGTGGCTAATCAGAAAGTGGTCTCTAACTCCCAAGGAAATACAAAAAGAACTGAGAACCAAACCCCCCCGCCCCCCCCCCAAAAAAACCAGAACCACTCCAGAACGAGATGGGTTTTCACCTGAGTTGCACACAGGCAAAAATTTCAAATCAGAAAGTGGAGGGGGTGTGGGGGGGGGGGAAGAGCCACTGTAAACAATCATATTTTGTAAAGTTGTCCCGTGCGAAAGCAAGCCTGTGATGACCCTGCCCACCTCCAGGCAGTGTTTGTAACTTAAAGGAAAAAAAAAAAAGGCAGCGGTTTTACACGGACATTTAAACACAACCAAAGTCAGTCAAACATTGTCAACTTGTAAACATTGGAAAACAAAGTTGGCAGAAAGGAAGAAAGAAAAAAAAAAGAATGAGAAAGAAAAGGAGAGAAAAAGAAATCAGAATATTGCAAACCGAGACCTCCCCCCCAGAAGTTGCGATTTGGCATTCTTCCTACAAAACGGGAGTCTACGTGGGAATTGAATTCAGCTAGCAAGGGGGACACACTTTGCATACTGAACAAATACAAAGTGAACAGAAATTATAACTTATGTATGGGGCTTTACAGAGTTCAAACTCGACTCAAAGTATAAAAATAAACTTGGACTTTGTTCATTCGTTAGTCTTAGTGCCTGGAAGTATTTCTCTGAAACTGGTCTGTGCCAATTGGGCAACGCCAAGTGCGATCTTCCTGAACCTAGATTTTTTTTTTTTTTTTTTCTGAGCTTCCTAGATTCTTAATTTGGGGTCCTTTTGTTTGATTCTTAAATGGTTTCAGGGAACAGAGTGTCCTAGTTTGGCTGTGGGTTTAACCTTTTTGTCTCATTTTCTTACAAGTGAGTGCGCGCAGCAAAGGAACCCTTTCTATAAACCTACAAAAAGGAGATCCCATGTTTATCTGTTTAGTTTTTTTTTTTTTAAAGGCAAAAGACACTAGAGGAATGAGATGTGTGTGTGTGCGTGTGTGTGCATGTGTGCATGTGTGAGATATTGGGAATGCTCTGGTGAAGCTGTGGTGTCACTTTTTACTTTGATCTGCTCATTTCTTGTCACCCATCATGCTTTGCTCTCGTTCTCCTTTGTTTGTGTGGCGTCGTTGGGGACCGTCTTGACTTCGGCGGGCGCTGGCTTCGTTTCTGTCTCCTGGCACTCCGACTTTGCTTCTACGGGGCCCTTCCTGCAGAGAATTGGGAAAACAGCACTGAGACCACAGTCCGCAGTTGTCACCCTCCAGCTGGGCTGAGGCATACAGCAGTGGTCCCCATTCTTGGCTGCACGCTGGAATCACCTGGGAGCTCTAAAAATCCCCAACACCTGAGCCAGCCCCCCAGGAGTCCTGATTTAATCGGGCGGGGCACGATGACTTTTAAAAGCACCCAAGTGACTCTGAAACGGAGCCAAAGTGGAGAGCCGCTGAATCAGAGGAAAGAGACCTTCCCTCCCCTCCGGCCCTCGTGCAATACCGGGCCCGGAGCCCAGTGCTTCCCTGGGGCGGCGGAAGGGGGCAGCAGACGCGGCCTGCTCCTCACCCTGACTGCCCGGGTGCAGTAGCAGACTGCCCAGGTCGGCATAAATGACGCATGCTGTGCTCAGTTCCCCAGCACCGAGTCCAGGGGTGCGGACTCGGACTCTGCGGACCACCTTGCTCATGCCTGTCCTCAGTGCAGCAGGCCCTGTGCTCTGTGGTTAGGGTGGGAAACGCTCTTTGCCACCGAGGTGGTGTCGCATGGCACGGGAGGCTAGGGTGGGCTGGCACACTACATGGGGACAGGGTCGGGGGGAGCCAGGGGGCTGCTGAGTGGGAAGGACTAGTGGATTCCTACTTCTTCAGATTCAGGGCTCACAGGGAGGGTCCCATTTTGGCTCTTGGAGGCAGCACGACAGCTCGTCTGGGGGGCAGGGGCCTCTGTCAAAACCTAGGTCTGACTCTGCCTTATTCAGTCCCAGGAGTCAAAGTCTGGTCTAAGGGCGCACGGGGGCACGTGCAGCGCCAGACCCCGGCTCCAGCTGCATCTCGGCATCATGGTTAAGACATTTGTAATCTTGGGGCGCCTGGGTGGCTCAGTGGGTTAAAGCCTCTGCCTTCAGCTCAGGTCATGATCCCAGGGTCCTGGGATTGAGCCCCGCATCAGGATCTCTGCTTAGCAGGGAGCCTGCTTCCTCCTCTGTCTCTCTCTCTCTGCCTGCCTCTCTGCCTACTTGTGATCTCTGTCATATAAATAAATAAAATCTTAAAAAAAAAAAAAAAAGACATCTGTAATCTTAAGGACCTTCGCTTGAACTTGGAGACCCAACAGGCATTCGGAGCCTGTGAGCTCCGTGTCTTCCCAGACATTGCAGGTCAGGAGAAGCCCAAGTAGCCGGTGGTCCTGGGGGCGTTGTGGGCATCCGGGCTGGAGTGGGACAGGGCCTTCTGGACCATTCCCTCTCCCCACAGGGGCCTTGGGGCCTGCCCCTTTCCTTCCTGCCGACAGTGCTGTTCCAGTGCCAATGCCAACCCAGCCTAACCCTGGCTAATAGACTGACTGTCTGGGGCCCCAGGGTGGCTGGTAAGGGCACCTTGGCCTCCTTAGCTCGCCTGCCAAGCTATGCTCATCAGTGGCCCGATGGCAACCCCCCCTCCCAGCCCCAGGGAAAACTGAAGCCTCTGCCAGCAGGATAAGGCTGAGACGTAATTAACGTGGCCCAGTTAGTGAGCAGGCGGCTGCTCGCTGGGCCCTGCTGCCTGCCCCGCTCTCTCTGCCTCATCCCAGCCCCTTGCTTGACAGTCGCCTCAGAGAAGCCCAGCGTCAGGCTGAGGACACCCTCTCACAAGCAGGACACAGCACAGCACAAACGCACACCACCACCGGACACAACCCGACCACAGCAGACAGACAGAGGCCGTACTCGGGCTTTGCTGGTGCAGGCGGAACAGAGCTGTCGGCAGTGGAAGGAGCAAGCTCGGGGGCTTGTCCACTGGCCCCAGCGGCGGGAGCAGGAGAGCTCAGGGCTGCAAAAACATCCTCTGCAAGGTCAATATCTGGGGTCTTGAAGTTCCCTTCGTCCATTTTAAAGTCCTCGCCCTGGGCAGGGTTTGTGGCGCTGACGGAGGCAGCCTCGCTCTTCGGGCGAGCGGGGCCCGTGGCTGCCTCAGTTGGGCTCTCCGCAGCGCCGGGCTGGGTGGGCTCGGGGTCCGGGCCTTTGGAGCTGGGAGCCTCCTGCTTGGCCTGGGGGCCTTCCGTGGCAGGGGCGGCCACTGCTGCTAGGGGACTGGCTGCCCCGGCCGTGGCGGGGCCTGGCACAGGGGCCCTGGAAGCCTCCCCCACGCCGGCAGGGGCACTGGGGCTGAGCACTGCCCCCTGGCTAGCCAGGACACTAGAAGACAAATTGTTGGCAGCGGGGGCTGAGATCGGAGTGTCGCTCAGGTCAACGAGGGGGGCGACCTTGGGGGCGGAAGCGGGGGGTGGGGAGGAGGTGGCGACGCCGGGCCCCTTGGAAGGGGTGGCCTGGCCGGCGGGCACAGAGTTTGAGTCAGGTGTGGCCGTGGCCGGGGGGGCAATACTGGAGGTCAGGGTGGTGGTCTCACTGGTGGGGCTGTTCTGAGCAGTGGCAAAGGTTTCGGTGATAGTGTCAGAGTTAGCGGTGACGGTGGTGACAGAAGGCAGCATGTCCTCGACAGTGGCTGTGGTGTCGGCAGGCAGCCTGTGGGAGGACAGGAAGTAGAAGAGAATAGACGATGAAGCTCAGACGAGACAGAGAAGCAGGGGGAGGGCTGCAGCCAAGAAGCGGGGCGCGGGCAGCCATGCGGGGACGCACAGGCACAGACACAGGCCCACAGAGAAACGAGGACGGCGAGAGGAAGCACACGCCCAGGCGGGCAAAAGCGGAGACAGGAAACACAGAGCACGTGGAGATCTAAAGGGACCTGCCGGCCCTTCCTCCCTGCCGACGCCCCTCCAGCTCTCTGCGCTAGGCTGCCTTGTCCCACAGCCCTGTCAGGGCCTTTCCGAGCCCTGCCTGCAGCCCAACTCAGGAGGGACAGGCTTCCGTCTGGTGTCCATCGCTGCCGGTGTCCCCGGCCCCCCGAGGAACTGGGCCCCGGCAGTGATGGGCAAAGTCGGGAAGATGGCAATGAGTGCTCCGAACAGCCCCAAGGGGCCACGGGCTCCCCAGCCAGAGATTTTGTGCCGCCATTTAACTCCACTCCCTTCAAACCCATAGCCTCAGGACAGCCAGCAGTCCTCACAGGCTCGGCTGGGCATGGTTCCTGACGGAGGGCTCCCCAGGCCTCTGGGAACAGGAGGGCCGGGGAGCTTCATGGGTCCCCACCTGTTCTCACCCTTCTCAGAGGACACAGAAACCTCTAGAGTTCTTGAAAATCCTAAACAGAATCTGCTAAGCCTCTCAAAGCTCAGCCCCTCTCAATGAAGTTTTGCCCCCTTTGGCCATTTCTGGGATGTGTGTGTGATTCAGGGAGAGGGTCTAGAGGTCCCACTCATCCCAGGAGCCCGCAGAGCACCTGTAGTCCCTTAACAGAACCCAGAATGCCTTCTCTTTAGGGAGAGAGGGGGGTCAGGCATTTCTGGCCAAGGGCTCCAGGATCTGGCCTGCTTGTTTGACTGGGAGTGGTGGGTGGGTGGGAGGTGTGGGAGGTGTGGGTAGGGTGATGGGTGGGTGTAGGGCTCTGCTGACGAGGTCCGGCCCCTCCCCGCCCACGTACTCGGGCTCTGTCAGCGGTGTGGTCTCGTTGGGCTCCGTGTGTTTCCCTCCGTCATGGTTTGGGGTCCGCTCCTCCTCGGTCCGCACCTCCACGATGGGCTCCTTGGACTCATCTTTCCTGTGGAGAGAGGGGCTGTTTCAATTCTGGGACACTGGGGCAGGGAGGGGGACTCCTGGAGAAGACAGCTACAGCTCACGGCACCTGGGCCTGGCCCAAAGTTTGGGGGGAGGGCAGGGACATCTCAAGCCAGGTCCAAGTGCCCGAGCCTCAGCTCCCACTTGTGTGAGCTGTGTGACCTTGAGCACCTGTCTTGCTCACACTTGCTTCTGTCTCATCTGTAAAATGGGGTAAATAAGTCTCTCCCTTGCCTAGCTGTCTCACGTTAACTGAGATCATGAATGTGAAGGGCTTAGCACGGTGCCTGGCACAGAGAAGTACTCGGATAGTCTGTCTCTACGTACAGAGCCTGACACACGGTGGTGCTCATACTCACCACCGCCCCCCCCCCCCCCCCCCCCCCCCCCCCCCCCCCCCCCCCCCCGGCTCTGGCCCTTCTCGCCGTGAGTCTGTGAAGGCTCCTGATAATTAGCTCAAGATCTCTCTCTCTCGAGATGCTGGAAGGGACAGCATCTGGAGCCTCAGCTTCGAAAGGAAAGGACGTCTTATCTGTTCGGTGCTTGGGTGTAACCTGGGGTCGGGGAATATCGCCTGGCCCGACAGTAGCTGCTCAGTAAGTGTTTGTGGGGAGATGTGTGAATGAACGACAGCAAGGCAAGTAGGTCTCTGAAGTGCTATGGAAATTCCCCTCCGGGTTCAGCTCTGAAAATTCCCCTCATTTTCATCCACGCAGGACTTTTCAGACTTCTCTGAAATTCTAATGTGTTGGCTGTGAGGCTGGGCCCAAGGGTTTGCTTTGCAAACAGGTACCCGCAAAGGCTGTGTCTGAGAAACAGTTCTCCAGTGATATGGCTCCATGGCTGGGCCCCCCCACCACCCAGGGCAGAGCCCAGACCCCAGCAGCGGCAAGTGGGCTGCACTCACGAGAAGGCGGCTTTGCCCTCCTCCATGTCCTTGCCCTTGGCTCCGGGCCCCGCCTTTCCACACAGGTTGACAGCGATGCACATGAGCAGGCCGCACTTGTTCAGGAAGTAGCAGGTGACGTCCACCGCCACCAGGAGCAGGACGAAGATGACAATGAGGATGCCCACGATGGCCCCAGTGCTCAGGCCTGATGTGGGGCTGCCGTTGGCTTGAGTGGGAGGGAGGGAGGGAGAGAGATGGTCGGTGGTTAACACACCAGGCTGACCCTGCACCCTGCAGAGCAACAGCCCGTGGGGGTCGGGGAGAGCCTATGGGGCAAAGTCAGGGCACTTGTGTCAAGAGGGGCACCGTCCCTGGGGCCCTTCTGTACCCCAGTGTTGAGACAACAGAGTCTCTTCATATCTTCGAGAGGGTGGGATGCCAGCCTTATGTCGGAGACCAGGGGACTGATGCATGAGGCACCCACAGGTCAGGATGGCAGTGGGGACTGGGAGCTGTGTCTCCATCCTTGTGCTCAGTCTCTGAGCCTCCCCCCAACCCATCCTTAGCTGATCTCCCCGTGAGCCTGGGCAGCAGGCAGGCGGACGGTGGTCATCGGTTTCAGGCTGGACCGTGGCTCCTGGGAGTCGTCAGGGGCAGGGTCCCAGCTGGAGCAGTGGGGGGTTCCCAGGGCTTCCTTAGGGCTTGTGCTGACATCAGGTGCAATGATATGCCCGAAATGCTATCCTGCTTCCTCTCCCCTTTAGGACCAGCTCCAGAGGATTCCAGCACTGGACAACAGACATGGTTTATCCTTCATTGCACCCAGGGAGCCAAATGAAGCCCATTTACTCTGGAGACGTGGAGTTCTGCCCAGCCCCGGTAAGCAAGGTGAAAGGTTTGGGTGTACTCACCTTCTGGGAGCCCAGGCACACTTGAACCAGGCTTCAGGAAACCCAGCAGACTCACCCAGAGATGCACGTCCACACGGACAGGCACACTCACACTCAGGGCAAGTACGCTTTGTGCCCACTACAGACAGACCTGCATTCTCACACCCGAGCAGCACCCAGCACTCCCGTGCTGGCTGGGCTCACTCTGCATTGACTCGGCCTGTGTCCTTCTGCCCCTATGGTCCATCTATAAAGCCCCAGGGCCCCAGGGGACTGATGGTCTCACAGAAGGGCCCCTGGCTCAGCTCCCCACACCCCGTCTGATGGCTGTGAGTTGCCTGAGGCGGCCCTCTGACTGGTGAGTCCCCCATTGTCTGGGAGACACATGCTCAAGCTCCGGGAAGCTGGAGCCCAGCAGGGCTCTGCCCATAAGCCAGTGTGGAGACCATGGAGACTCCTGTGCAGACATGAGCACATCTGCTTCCTTCTGGAAGGACCGAGTTACGGAACTGGCAGCCCCCTGGCGTACCCCACCCCCGACGTGGTCTGAGGCTTCCTGTGCCGCCAGGATCCCCTGGGATCACCCAGGTCTGCCCACTAGAGGTAGGAACTGTGGCCAACACCATTGGGTCTCACTGTGCCTTTGCTGCACACCAGGCCAGGCCCACTGGCCTGCCAGCCACATATCACACCAGATAATCGAGGGACGTGTAGTCCAAGGTGACAGGTGCAACAACGGGCCACGTTCTTCTTTTTCTGTGCAATCTGTGTTCCTGGGGGCACTCCTCGGTCTGCCCTGGGGTCCCTGCTCAGGCCGCATGGGGCTTCTTCAGCAGTGGTCCTACACCACTGGTCTTTGCCTCAAAGTTTAATTCAGGGTATGAACCACCAGCCCAGCAAGGCAGAGATGACTGCTCACTCACAGCTTAATTCTTACTGCCCATGGCACAGATGGGCCTTAGATGAAGAAGATTCTCAAATTCTTGAATATTTGTGGCTTCTTTGGGACCCTGGCCTTGCTTCCCAGCCTTTCCTCCTTGGGCTAGCTGGCTGGTCTCATCCAACCCATATTTAAAACCCCAGCCTATCTCCAGGAAGGCATCAAGATGGGCCAAGGGCTCTGTGCTCAGAGGACCCAGCTCTGGCCATGCTGTCCCCAGACTTCGGCAGCAGGAAATGGCTGGCCAGCCCCTGAGGTCCGCTAGAGTGGGTCTTCTCCCTAGCAGCTCAGAAAAGCTAAGTAAAGCATTTTGTTCTCTCGCAGGTCCTCACACATTCCACCCTAATGAGCAAAGAGAAGCAGGCAAGCCTTCCTGATCTTTGGAGTCCCAAAGCCGCTTCCCTAAACTGGGAGGGAATATCAGCCTTGGGCTTTCTCTCTAGCCCATGACACTGGGCCAGAAGTCACTGCTGCCTCCTGGCATCAGTGCCCCGTAGGTGCTGAGAGCTTGTTCCCGAAGGAGGAGGCTGAAGTATTTGTGTGAGGTGAGTGTTTGTGTTTTCAGACTCCGTGGTACGAACTGTACGTTCGGAGGTGTATGCGTAAGTATGGTCTGAGGGGACGCATCCTAGCTGCAAAGAGGATGACAGACCACTGCCCGGCGGCTCCGTGTTTGTGAGAGGCAGCGGTTGTCCAGCTGAAGCTCTGGGCTCGTCAGACCCAGAGGGAGGACTTCCTTGGCTCTGAAGGCCAGCATCACGTGCATGCACAGGGGAAGGGCAGGGGGTACAAGGACCCCCGTGACAAGACAGAACGAAGGGAAGTGGTCTTCCTTCTTCTGGAGGTAAGATTCAGACTCCTCCTCTTGGCCTAAAGGCCCTACATGCTTAGAGACTCTCCCACTCTCCTGACTGTTGTCACTCTTGGCACCAGCCCTCTACCCTTTTCCCTGTGCTCCGGTCGGAGCCTTCACACTACCTGCTGAACACACCCAGCCCATTCCTGCCTTCGGACTTTGCTGACCCCCTGCCTGCCATACTCCAGCCCCATAACCTCCTGGGAGGCTCTTTGCCATCCTACAGGCCTCGGCTCAAATGTCACCTTGTCAGAGAGCCCTCTCCCTCCATCCCCTGATCTCTTATCTAGTGACTGACCTCTGCCCACTATCTGCCACACTACCCGTTTCCTCTTTTTGCCCCTGTCTGCCATTTTCTGTTCATTTACATGCTTTTCATTTGGCTATGCCTTCTGGAAGGTTCTACTGTCTTATGTCTCCTCAGCATCTAGGACAACCTGACTGACAGGAGATGTTCAAAGAATATTTGTCAAAAAAAAGAGTGGCTGTTGAGCCTGGAGATGAGAGTGCCACCTCCAGAGACTTACAGGTGGGCTGTGAAATGGAAGAAGTCTCGTTCACTATTACTCCTGGATGACAGCTCTAGGATCCGGGGTAGATTTCAGCTCCCCTCAAGAAAGGACTAAGAGAGTGTGAGCTGCTTGGGCAGTTAGGCCCACTGTGGCTGGAGGCACCGAGCAGAGGCTGGACGACCGCCCTGGGCAGGGATACTGTAATGTTCTGGAAGAGGTCCCTGTGCGGGGTAGGGCTTGGTGTGATGGCGTCCCCATGTCCTCTTCAACCACAATAGCCCGGGTCCCATATCGCCGTCCAGCAGCACCCCAAGCACTGTCCAGATCCCCTTCACTGTGTACTGAGAAGGACTTCTCCTTGGGAGACTAGCACACTCAGGAGGGCCTGTTTTTATTCACAGATTCTTGTGATTTTATTTTTATATGGGAAATATACTTTTTAGCATAATGTCTGTCTGCCTGCAACAGGATTCCTGGGGTACTGAAATTTAGACTCGGGGGCTCCCCAGTTCTACCCAGTCAGAATCTCCGGGTGGGGCTCGGGAATCAGGATGTGGAGGAGCCGCCCCGGGTGACCCTCGCACAAGTAGAGTTTGAGGGTTGCTGTTTCCGGGTCCTCTCACGCCTGCCCTACAATGAGCAACAGCTGTTCCCATGACTCACCGCCCGAGGAGGAGCTGTGGAGTCTCGCTGTGTGCCCTTGACCTAGCATACTGGATGGACGGAGAGAAAGCAAAGACGGCCCCGATGGAAAAAGGACCACCCAGTTCACTAAGAGTCTTGACTTCCAGATGGAATAAGGCGCTCCTCAAGCTAGAGAAAGTGTGCGTAGCTTTTGCAAAAAAAGAAAAAAAAAAAAGCTGAAAATAAGGGAAATACCAGGAAACGGATAAACGTGTATTGAAGACAAGCCAACACCCACTGGCTCTCGGAGGATGATACAAGACTGTAGGCCAGGAGAGCTGGAAGAATGGAGGGTATCCCCGTACCTCAGGTAAGAGTTTATAGAAGGGAAATGTAAAACCCTTCCAGGGGGTCTATGTTTGCCTGACCGTGCTACTGGCCGGCCTTGCCTGGCTCACCCACACACCCACATGCAACGAGAGTTTCTTGGGAGCAGCTCCTCCATAACCTCCAGGGTCAGAGTCACCCCAGTGGTGGTGGACGTGGAGCGGGGGGAGGCTGTCTCTCCTCTGTGGTTCCTGGCCTGGGAGAGGCTGACCCTAAACAGGGAGCTCACTGCTCCACGACAGAGACCTACATCGTACGTCTTTCTTAAATCCTCAGAATGGGAATCCGGGTCTCACATTTACAGACACCAGATGGGCCCGAGTCACTGTCAGGAGCTCTCCGTGCAGCAGAGGGGTCCCTCCCACTGCGCTGGGGCTCCGGTTCACTTGTAACCCCATACACGTCTGCTTGCTCCTTCCCAGAACCTACTGTTAAACAGACGGCCAGTCTCAAGGGCTTCCGGGAAGTGTCCTTATACTGTGATTATAAACATAATAGGATTTGCCAATGAGAGCCTTCTCTCACATTCTATCACAAGGTCACTCTGTGCAGCCCCCACTATGGGCTTCTAATGGGAGCCGTGAAATCAGGAGCCCAAGCTACCGACTGGTGGCCTACTTGATCTGGTGGCCCACAGGGTGTCCCTGACCCCAGAGTGACCACCTCCTGGTTCTGCGAAGGGACTGCCCCCTCCCCCTGCTGCCAGGGACCAGGAATGCCCAAGGAGGCAGTGACTACCGAGGGCTCTCAGGGCAGCCGAGCAAAAGGCATAGCTCCTCATCAGAAAAGGAAGGCATTTCCTTTGCTAGAACTCCAGGCAGCAGGCTCCAAGTTCGGGGTCCAATTTGGGGTAATCAGAGCTATTCAGGTACACATGAGGTGAAAGGAAAGGGCTCTTGACGTTTTGTAGGACACACAACTATTCAATAAACTCAAAGCACGCTGGTGAGTTCACACGGACTGTTACTTCCTTTAATAACGCAAAGGTGTAAACTTCCATCAAGGCCTCGCTGATTATCTACACAACAGTGTTAGCATTCTTATTAGTAACAAACGTGATCCAAACCTGCCGTATAAATATTTCAGAAGTGAGCAAAGGAACCCCGCGGCGTGTGGCAGCGCTGGACAGGGCACAGCAGTGGGGGCAGCTGGGTGAGGTGGTAAGTGCTTCCCCCCCGAGTCCAACCCCGGGGACTCAAAGGGCTGCTACCTTGGGGACTGCTGGCGGGGCGAGGGGCTGCAGCCGCCACTGAGAACGGTGTCCAGTGGGAGTGGGTGTGCCCTAACGAGGTCTCTCAAAAGCCATCCCGTTACAGACCAGGGGCCTGCCTGCTTTGACCCCAAAGTAGCTTCGGCTGAGGTCCCGCCTCGTCCGGGGTGTGTGTGGGGTGGGACAGGGCTGTGTCAGGCTTCCCTATACTTTGGCTAGATCTCCAAAGAGTCCCTCCGGAAACATGACACTGGCCCTCCCCTGTGGGTGGGACCAGGATCAGGCTCGGGTAGATCCCCCACCGATGGGCCCTCCTGGGTGAACATGGGACTTCTGCCCCACGTGCTATCAAGAGCATGCCAGGAGCTGGGAGGACAGTGATGGGCTACTTGTGTGAGGACAGATCTCTCCTTCCCTCACCCTCCCCAGAGCTCTCGATAACTGACCTGGGATTCTTACGCCAGGCCCGGAGGCACCACGTGTCTCTCCTCGATGCTCCACCTTGTGCCTAAGAACCACGCCTGCTTCTCTTGTGCTGGTATGAAGGCAGGGCAGGGACCCCAGGGGCAGAGGTTTGAGGTGGGGCTGGGGAGGCAGACAGGGCTCGGGCAAGAGGTACTACCTGCCTGGGCTACCGGGAAAAGTGTGGCCTCCGGTGTCTATACATGAGCCTCTAAATGGTGAGTGCTGGGGGACATGAGCCCGTGCCAAGTGACACGGGCAGCACTGCCCTGCAGACGGGATCACTAGGATTCCCAAAGGGAAAGACTAGTCTTCAAACGTTAATTTAAAAACAAAAACAAAAACAACACAACAAACAGAACTAAAAAATAAACAAAAATTAAACTTCCATGGGATGTTTAGAGATGAGATATGTAGAATGATGTGACCACAATGGAGGGAGGGCGGTTTTATCCACTAGAAGGTCCATCCCCAAGCACGCACAGGTGTTCCTGAGCAGGAGCCTGCCGTCTCCGTGTGACTCTGCGAGCACACTGCCTCCTTCCGACAGCAGAGAGCACTAGCTGGTGGGCACCAGAATTTTTTAAAGGTCACTAAAGCCACTGACTACCACAGGGGGTTGGGGCATTTGGGAAGTAGGACAGGCTGGCCCAGTTGCAGTGTGTAGACGCTCTGGACTGGGCAGTCTGGGAGTGACCTGTCCCCCCCCCCCCCCCCACTCTGGTGAGTGTGTCGGGGTGGGGAGCGTGTGAGCCACGCCTGGCTTGCGGTAGATACTTCCAACTTGGGGACTGGAGCATAGGCGAGACTGTCAGACCACAACCCCCGAGACGCAAGGCTCTGTGCAGCTCGAATCACTCCGGCTGGGGGGACACCCGTCCTACACAGCTGATGGGCACTAAGTGCGTCATAGGCTGGCCCTGTGGGCAGCACCAGCATAGGCTGCTGGTTGTGATACCAGGGCCAGAGCGCCTCCCAGAAAATGCCTAACAAATCCCGTTTCTTCCACTGGATGGGCAATGTGGTGGCTCTGCCCATCATGTCAGCAAAATGCCTGGGCACGTCCCAGGAGTCTGGCTCTCTTACCACAGGCGCTTCAAGGCAAGCGAAGCCAGCTGCTTTTGGAGGGGAAGGAAGGAGCACATGGTCATCCCAACAATCTGATGCAAGCTTTAGGGGTACTTAGACATTTTCCTCTGCTACATCATTTTCAGGTAAGAACAAAAAAAATGCAACAGGTAGCAGATGCGCAGAAATGTCTCTGTAAACCTAGCATAATTTTTTTTTTTTTTAAAACCATGTAAAGAAAAGCACTCCCGCATGTTTTCGTACTCTGCCATTGTAAAGGGGCAAACATCCTCGTGAAGCAGCACAGAGGATCTGTGAATGGTAAACTGTCTGCACATCCAGCTTTTTCCAGTCCCCAAACTTTCCTCTTCCACACAGAGTGCTTGGTGGCATGGCCGTGGCGGTCCTGACAGGTTCTTCCAAAGGGGGCACTGATCATTCTCAGAGGAACTGGGCATTTAAGCAAACTTAATTTGCGCATGTGTGTGTACGTGTGTGTTCAAGTTCCTAACAGAGCAAAAGCAGAGTCACTGCGGAGAGAAGCAACGAGACAAAGGTGTAGGACGCAGAGCAGCCGCCCAAGGTCGCTGCAGGTCCAAGCCGTGGGTGCCCAGAGAGAATGTGGTTGTTTAAAAACAAATGTGGCAGTGGGGATGTCCCAGGGATGGACGTCCAAGGTGAGATGTGTGACGACAGACACAGGAAGGGGAGGGAGGAGAAGGAAAGAGAAGGTAGAGACAGAAACAGAGAAAAAAAAAAAAATAGATAAAAAGAAAAAAAAATTAGGTCAAATATAGAAAACGCAAGAATCAAAGGTTAATTCAACTTAGTAAATTAAACTGACAAAGGTTAGAGAAGAGCTCAGTATGGTATTACTCCCGTAAGGCCAGTTCCGAAGCTCAGCAAGGCCAGAAGCAGCACAGCGGGGCGAATTTGGGGGTTAGGGGTCAGCGAGCAAATGAAATTCAAGTGAGAGAACAGAGCCTCTGCAGTCAAATCCAGGAGTGTGATTAGGAGAGTGTTACCTTTGACTAAGGTCAGGCCTCTTAGGAACAGTCAACGAGCCTGTCCACAGCCTCCTAGCCTCTAGCTTTCTGCGTGTGGTAGGAGAGATGCGCCATAAGCATCTCAGTGAGAGGTCGGACTCGTCCTTCTCCTCCTCGGGTGCCACGCCCCGCCTCCACCCCACACTGTTCAAGACGAACTAGTCTGCACGCCTCACCTCCTGCCACCCTGCTGACCGCCGGTACCACCACAAATGCACAGCTTAAAATTCGCACGTTTTGTCCACAGGTACCAACACCATGGCCAGGAAAGTCCAAGCAAGCACAGAACTACCTCCTCCTTAGACAGCACACAGCAGAGCCACCGAGCCCTTGCAGGTGAGGTGAGCCGTCCCTCCAGCACTCTCTGGCTTCCTTGGGCACCTGGGAGCTTACCAAGAAGGACCCGGGGGGACAAGATCTTCTGCTTCTGTACCTGACTTACAGGGTCCCCAGCTGCTCCGGCCCCACAGGCTGATGCCAGGGGCAGCCCTCAGCACAACCCAGCAACCTGCCTATGTTGCCTAGGTCGGGCCACAGGTGCCGTCGGAAATCTCTCTCGCTGCGAAGGGCGGACTCCAACCTGTCACTCCCCCAACTCCTGAGCGTCCCATAGAGGCTGATCAGAGACGGACACACTCCAGACTATCGAGTTCAATGAAAAACGGACCAAAGAGCACAAAGAAAGAAGGGGCACAGGATGGTAGGGCCACCTCTGGACATGGGCTGAGCAGGAGTGAGAACACCTCTTGCAGCCATGCCCAGTGCCTTTACCGCTGCCTGTTGGCACTAAGGGGCCTGCCTGACAATGCGGAGGGTAGGACCGATCAACGTCTCGCCTGCCAGCTCCCTGGAGGCCCCCGCATGTCTGTCAGACACACACGTTCATGCACACTCAACCGTCGCAAACCACACTGGTCTTACTTTGCCATCTCCTTAACCCACTCGTGCACACGCAGACCCACGTTCTAGGCGGCCACAGCCTCTCTTTCTCCCGCTGGGAGGCGCTATTCTGACAACTGAGCAGAGCCCCCAGGCAAGCATCAGAGACAGGACAGGCATGAGGGGGCCACACTAAGGCAGCTGGGAGACTGGGACATCTTCCTACCATGCTTGAACACGCAGAGAGTTTACGGGGCTCCCTTCCAACAGGCTGCACTATATGGTCGGTGTCCCCCTCTCCTGCCTGTGGCTGATCTGGAGAAGCAGAGTGCTGTTGAAGACTGCCTTCCCCTCTGAAGTCCGGTCAATGCGGAGACTAACCATCAGCGGCAAGGGGGCTGGCCAGCAGGCAGGACTCTCACTTTGTTCCCACACTTGAGTTGGTCCTGGATCCCTAGAGACAGGTCTGTGTCTCCTAGGAGAACGACTCCCGTCATGGTCTCCAGCGGATGCCTTTCACAGATGGCGTTTGCCAACATCTTTCTCCACTTGCTCTGTTTCAAGCGATTCAATTTAATCTTTGTTGCAGTGGAGAGGCCCTCAGAAAATGGGATTTTTAACTAACTGGGCACCGTCTCTTCCTTCTCTTGGGGTCCCCACAGAGAAGAGAACTGGACCATGATAGTGCAATAAGCAAGCATCAAAAAGCGCTTAAAAACAATTAGGGGGTCCTTGTATGGAACGGCAGAGGGTAGACAAGGTCTCAAAAAAGGTCCTTACTCAACCAGCTGCCAGGGCTTGGCTGGAGCTGGGTGGTTCCCAGCTGAGGAGTCCCGCGGGCCGGCTTAGCCTCTGTCCTCCAGGGCTGAATGACATAGGACCGTTGCCCCAGGATGCTTGGCCAAGCCTTCCCGGGGGTCCAGTACATCTCAGCCCACTGCACAGATAGGTACAAAGCACAACGAAGCTTTGCACGGGCGACCGATCATGAGGATGGCTGGCAGCAAGCAAGTCGTCAGGGCTGTTCAGGCACGTTAGGAGGTGAAGCATTGTGCATTAATTCCAAGCAGGAAACTCACAGAAAAGCAGAGGCCGCCATACCTGGGATGGCCGTGGGCTGGGCCGAGGTCCTGAACACAAAGCGAGCCGCCTTGGACTTCCCCTGCTGGTTCTCAGCCACCACGTAGACCTCATACTCCGCATTCCATTCCAGCGACTTGAGCATGACGTGGTCACTGCCAGACGGGAGCCGGATCTCTGGTTTCCACTCGGAGGAGAGCTTCTGGGAGAAACCGGCAGGACGGACACAAGACACCAGGACAGTTTAGATGAAAATGCTGGTGAGACCCACTCACGGGAAGAGCTTCAGGGAGTCACTACTATCAGTACAAAATAATGCAAATAAAAACCGATGAGAGGACAGGGTGGTCGTTCTTTACCAGCCTGAAAACCCCTAAAGACGATGAAGGTCAGGAGGTCAACCTTCCATCTGTAAGCACAGCGGCTGATGGCGGGTGCCATAGGGCAACCCTCCCGTGTCTTGTCCCATTGCCATCCAGGGCACCCAGGGACTCAAGAACATTCTGGAAGGCGTGGCACATGGACACCCCAGAAGAGCCATGCAACAAATATGCTTCTTGTCCTGTTTCAGGATGTTGCTCCCACTCAGCTGTGTGACTCACCTTCCCACACGGGAACGTGGCATAGGTTCATTTTGTTAAAAATAAAAACTACCATTTGTTGAACACCTACTATGTGCCTGGCCCCATGATTTCTAGGCTTTCCACTATTTTCTCATTGTATCCCAGCCTGTGAAGGGTTTTGTTGGGCTGAACGTTTGCTTGGCCAGGGTCACCAGTGGCCCAATTCTAATTTAAAAAACTTAAAAGAAATTCAGTTTTCTACATCTTCTCTCTCAATGGCTCCGTTCCTTGGCAAACTCTATAAAAGAGGCAACCAGAATATAAAGCAAATATTATGTTACACAAAAATACTAGTAACATATAACAACAAGACTTAGCAAACACTGAGCGTTTGAAGTAGAAGAGAAGACAGGTAAGGCTGTGGAAATCTCACATAGCTCAGTGTCCTGTCCCCACCAATTTTTAAAGGCAGACCTGCCAGGCACAGCCACAGTGGCTTCTGGAAAACTGACATCTCTGGGGGCCTCATCTGGGAGGTGTCTCCAGCCCCGGCCAACCGCTTAGCAGATATTATTGTATTACGGGACGGGGGACAGGGGGTTCCATGTATTGGTCACATTTCAGGTGCTTTGCTTATATTATAACTGATGTTTACAATAATTTGATAAGCTCTTTCATTTCGTTACGTTACATTATGTTACGGATGGAGAAATGGAGGTTTTTGGAAGTCTGGGTGACCTATTGGGAAGTGGTAAAGCCGAAATTGGATCCCACGTCTGGCTGGGCCACATCGGCCTAACAGGGGCCAGAGACAGCCCACCTGACCACACTGTCCACTTCCCATGGGCGGTGCTGGGCCACCGCTCAAACCTGATCGTGTTCCACAGTGAGGAAACCACAGTGACCTCTCAGGCTGGCCTCAGGGATGTCCACAGAGGCTCCTCCTCTGATGTCCTCCTGCTGCCTGGCTTTGCAATCAACTGGGGAAGGGCTGAGTGGAATGACAGGTCTGCCTGCCAGCTGGGAAGTGGGCCTGGTGGCGCTCTGCTGTAGTGACTCTCCATTAAGCCTAACCAGGCAAGGGTCCCCCATCCCTTCAGTGGCAGCTGATCAAAAGAGAAGGAGTAAGTCAGCTTCCTTGAAAAATCCTTTCTTTCTGCTTCAGGAAAGCACACTGCTCTCTGGTTCATTATTTCCTAGGTAAGAAATCCTTACTAGGTAAGGTAAGTCCTTGCTAGGTAAGAAGTCCTAGCAAGAGGCTATTCCCAGTGCTCAGACACTGCCTCTAGACCTCTCAGCAACTGAGTGTGCTCGCAGTGGCCCAGGGTCATTCTAAAACCTAAGAAAGTGGGAGGGATTCTCATTTTTGGGGCCTGGAGGTGCAAAGTAGGATGACATCTTAGATGGTGAGCAAACCAGGAAGAAAGGGTTCAGGGCCAAGTTCACTGTGAGCAAGATTAGACCAGCTCAGGGAGGATCTGAGGGGCAGGTGAGAACAACTGTGGTGTGGGATGGTAAGGCAGCCTAAGGCAGGGGTGGAGAGCCCAGTGTCTTCAGACAGACCCGGATTCAGACTCTGCTCACCCAGCTGTGAGAGATCACATGGGTACGTTACTTCCTCAGTAAAGGGTAGATAATCCTAAGGCCAACTTCACAGGATTCTCATGGGGAGACAATGCACATGATCACAGTGCCCAGTCCATAATACACACTTTATCAAATGTACGGATTATGAGATACCAGTATATTATTTGCAAAAAGTACCAGGTAATTGCAAAGTCACTTTGTAGAAATGTTCAAGCAGCAGAGAAATCAATCGTGGTAGGAGTCTGTCACCACCTCGGTCAATTTAGAGGTTTCAAAATCAGAAGAATAAACATTGTTAAAATGTCCGTACTGCCTAGAGCCATCAATACTTTGAATGCCATCCCAATCAAAATTCTACCAGCATTTTGCAAAGAGCTGGAACAAACAATCCTAAAATTTGTGTGGAACCAGAAGAGACCCCAAATTGCTAAGGAAATGTTGAAAAAAAACAAAACAAAACTGGGGGCATCACATTGCCTGATTTCAAGCTTTACTACAAAACCGTGAACACCAAGACAGCATGGTACTGGCACAAAAACAGACACATAGAACAGTGAACAGAGTAGAGGGCCCAGATATGTATTCTCAACTCTATGGTCAACTAATCTTTGACAAAGCAGGAAAAAATATACAGGGGATAAAAGTCTCTTCAATAAATGGTGCTGGGAAAATTCGACAGCTATATGCAAAAGGAATGAAACTCGGCCATTCTCTTACACCATACACGTGGGTAAACTTGAAATGGATGAAAGACCTCAACGTGAGGCAGGAATCTATCAAAATCCTAGAGGAGAACATAGGCAGTAAACTCTTCAACATCGGCCACAGCAACTTATTTCAAGACACGTCTCCGAAGGCAAAGGAAACAAAAATGAAAATGAACTTTTGGGACTTCATCAAGATCAAAAGCTTCTGCACAGCAAAGGAAACAGCGAAACAAAGAGGCAACCCATGGAATGGGAGGAGATATTTGCAAATGACACTACAGGCAAAGGGCTGGTATCCAAGATCTGTAAAGAACTCCTCAAACTCAACACTCAAAAACAGATAATCACATCAAAAAATGGGCAGAAGACGTGAACAGACACTTCTCCAAAGAAGACATACAAATGGCTAAGAGACACATGAAAAAATGTTCATCATCATTAGCCATCAGGGAGATTCAAATCAAAACCACATTGAGATACCACCTTACAGCAGTTAGAATAGCCAAAATTAAAAAATTAACAAGACAAGTGTTGGAGGGGATGTGGAGAAAGGGGAACCCACTTACACTGTTGGTGCAGCCACTCTGTAAAACATTGTGGGGATTCCTTAAGAAATTAAAAATAGAGCTACCCTATGACCATGGAATTGCACTACTGAGTATTTACCCCAAGATACAGATGTAGTGAAAAGAAGGGCCACCTGTACCCCAATGTTCATAGCAGCAATGGCCACAATCGCCAAACTGGAAAGAACCAAGATGCCCTTCAATGGATTAATGGATAAAGAAGATATGGTCCATATATACAGTGGAGTATTATGCCTCCATGAGAAAGGATGAACACCCAACTTTTATATCAACCTGGATGGGACTGGAAGAGATTAGGCTGAGTGAAGTAAATCAAGCAGAGACAGTCAATTATCATGTGGTTTCACTTATTTGTGGAGCATAAGGAATAACACAGAGGTCACTGGATGAAGGAGAGAAGTGAGTTGGGGGAAGTCGGAGGGGGAGATGAAGCATGAGAGACTGTGGACTTTGAGAAACAAACTGAGGGTTTTGGAGGGGCGAGAGGTGGGAGATTGGGTGAGCCTGGTGGTGGGTATTAAGGAGGGCACGGATTGCACAGAGCACTGGATGTGATCCATAAACAATGAATCTTGGAACACTGAAAAAAATTAAAAAAAAAATAAAAAAAATGGTCCCAGTGTGGACATGGCCTGATGGCTGTAGGTCAAGCTTGGGATTTAAAACCCTGACCAGGGCTCTTGAGCCTTCTGCGAGACACAGAACGATTCTGCCCCGCCTGGGCTTTGCATGCTGTTGCCTCAACAAGGTGGATGTTAGGGTTGCAGACGGGGTGAAGATGGGGCAGGAGCCATGGAGCCACTCACCGCTCGGTACTTGACAAGGTAGTGCCTGATGGGGGAGCCACCATCATCCTGCTTGATCAGGTTCACCTTAATGGAGTTTCCGTCCTCTCCCATCTGCCCTTCGAGCTTAGGTGCGCTGGGTTCACCTGAAACAGCCAGTTAAGTCATGTGACATTTTCGCCCACAAAGGAAAATCGAATCCATCAGCATGGGGTGTAGTGATGGGGTGGGGCTGGGTTTTTTTTTTTTTTTCTTGCTTTCTCAGAAATTCAAATGGTTAAAAAGCAATAAATATAAAACTTCGGGTTCCAGTTTAATGCTTCAGACTCAGCCCCAAACTGGGAGCGCTTTTTGGGAATGTTCTGGGAGACCCTGCCTGATAGCACAGTCCTTTTACCATTTTAGAAACAGGATTTTTTTTTTTAAATGTCTCTTCCTAGTGCTTGCATTTCCTTTTTGCCTGCTCTTACAACTGCAGATTTAACTTTGATGAGCCTGATACATTTTGAAGAACGGCCTGAAATACAGGAAAATGTGTATAAGCGTTTAAGGAGAAAACTTAAACCCAGAAAATAATTCTTCAAAATAGCCAGTCTCTTCCCTGGATACATGATTCAACCTGGGGGTCCAGGGGACCCACATCTCTAGCAGGGGTGGAAACGCTGCATGCTTGTGACCTGCTTTCTATGAATTAAATTCTATTACTTAGACTCATTTAAAAACATGACAAGTTTCCAGTTGTGCTTAAATAAAGCCCAAGCTGCCAGGAGCAAGTCTGCTATAAGCATCCTGCATTCAGGGCTCAGCTGCCTGAGTGATAATCCTTGGCAACTTGTTTAAATGACAATCATTAAAGTCTTTTGTTTGTGAGAAGAGAAGAAACAAACGTCTTTAGGGTTCCTCAAGAGAAAAGAGTCGAGGTCTCTATTTGCAGTACACACTCGGCTTGTGAGTCCAAGGTAGAGAAGGAAGACGGGCTCGTACGAGACAAACTACGAGGGCTGGGATGGTTCTTCTGTAAGACACTGACTTACGTTAAGACAAGCTACATCATTAGTGGATACTAGAAGCAAGGAGGTGCGAGGAGGTCTGGTAGGAGTCCCAATGAAGATTTAATGCACTTGGGATCATGCATTTCCTATGAGGACATAACTCTATGTCTAGTTCATGGCCTCTGACAGAAACTGGGGAGAGTCTATCCAATAATCACCCTCGGGTAGGTTGTCTTGGCTTGTCTGTTGGAGGATAGGATCACAGACATGTGACCGAAAACCCAGAAGGGTCTGTCACTAAGCTTCGGACCTCATCATCCCAAAGTGTACCATTGGCCATTTGTGACAAGGCTGCCGGCAAAGCCATTCAGCCCGTCCTCCTCATTCAGCTACTTTGGGAACCTCACGATGGCTGCTCATCCCGCCCCTCCCTTTAAGACAAGAAGGAACCAGAGAGGTAGCACTAATGGACAGCCCTTGCTACTCGGCCTGGGCCTGTAGCACGCACACCACCCAGAGCTCATCAGAAATGCAGATTCCGTTTTAACAAGATCCCAGGGCGATCTGTGTGCACACTTAGGCCTGAGAAGCCATGGTGATGGGGACGCGTGGGAGTGCGTGATGGGAGGGTGCCTCATCTTAATGTCTGAGGGAGAAAGGATTTAGGAAAAATTGTGCTTGTGGCTTGTTTTCCTTCATTGGTGATGAAGGAAAAAGAAAACCAAGAATTAAAGATAAAAACAAAGTTTTAGGCAAAGACATGTCCTGTTTTTGTGCCACTCCCTAGCCACTGGCCTCAGCTCTTCAGTGGAGGACATTTAAGAATTTGGTTTAGATAATGTCAAGGGGGGCATACTTTCCAAATGCGTTTGGACTAGGTCTCAGAAGTGGCTTATATCGTTATGAATATCCAGGGTATGAAGACACTCAAACCCCGTGGAGGCTACGTCAGAACAGGGCAAGTCTGTGGAGAGTCCCCTATGCTGAACAAATGGAATCCATGAGGCCCGGTGGAACTTTCCAAGTCCTGCATGGAACAACCCTCAGTCCCAGGCACACGGGGACGGTTCGTGGCCCAAACAGGGATGGGCACGAATGACGACTTCCATATTAGGAGTTGCGACACTGACTCGATGGTGGTCTATCTGCCTTAAGAAGGAGGGAAGGAGGCGGCACCGTGGCCCTTCTGACACACTCACCGGGCAAGGACCCAGTCCTTCCCCCAAGGCCTTTGCTTTGGGGGGAGTATCTACTTAGAAGAGGTGCTCCCTTTCATGTTTGTGGGGGTCCCTGTAAAACTAATCGCTTAGGCCTCTGCCTCACTATCCGCAGATGCAGACTAGGGGCCCTCCAGGGGCCGCTCTCCCTCTGCCAGCGCTGTGACCTGAAGTCAGTCACTGCCTTAGGATAAACTATCCAAGAACCACCTGGCCATTTTCACAACACTGTGAAAGAGACTCAAAATAAGGATGTCCTGCCAATTTCAGGGCGATGTACCCCCAGATCACTAATTCCACATCTCTAAGGCACACAGTTGTCTTTTTTTTTTTTTTTTCAACAATTTAAAACGTTATCTTCCTAAAAGTCCTGTCTTTGAAAAGAGACCCCCAGCTTTCTTCAAAGACCTCTGAACAAAAAACCTGGCCAAGGAACTTCTGCGGAAACTAACAGCCCCAATGAAAGTAGTCAAGTCTTATCTTCAGATGTGTCTCAGAAAAAAAAGGAATCGGAATCACAGAGATATCACTAAAAACTCTACCGCGCGGTTAGAACACAGTTCTAACATTGACCAAAGCTGGAATGCTCTCTGTCACTATCACTTCATCGGAGTGATGACTACATCGTTCTGACACATACGTTTAACTTTCTCATAGAATTGAGAGCAGATCGTGTAACTTTTACGTGTATCGCTTCAAGTGCTTTAACTATGACTTACTCAACAAACGTTTACCGAGTATCTCCCTTCTAGGTACCAGGTAGACCCTTAGGCATTGGCTTCTCAAAGGTAAACAAGACAAGGTTTTGTTTGCCAAATGAACTGTCTTATCCATCTTCAAATGTTCACCATCTCTCAGTTCTTCTAAAGATTACAAATAGGCTAAAGAAACTGCTTCCTGAGCTCTCGGCAAGAAGGCGGCTCTAGCCACGCCTGAGGAGGGAGGGGCTGATGCTGGAGAAATGGGCCTTGGCATTCCGGAGGCTCACGGCTTTACTGAACACATTAGGAGAGGAAATTATTTAGGGGGTCCCAATGTGCGCTCTGTTCTGAAATGGCTGCTCTGATTGAAATCATTATGGGTAATTTCGGCAAAACCAATATTGTAATTATTTGTAAATGTTGGTTTGCAATTCAGTAGCAATCGGCAGGTTGCTCCAAGAAAACCCCTGGGGTTAATTACACCTTCGGAATTTAGCTTCAGCCATGAGTCAAATTCAACCCCCCCAAAATATTTTATGTAAAGACTAAAAAAAACCTAATAGCACCTCAAAAATAAACCTTGCCGATAACAAATATAAAATATTAGGCAGCCCTGGTATTTGCTGGAAGAATGTAAATCGTGTGTGCCAGAAAATAAGAAGATACCACAGAGACGGCATACAGTCAGAAATGTTACAGGCAGGTCCTATAAATTCCCCTTAGAGATCGTAATTGAAATGTCTATTTCTGGCCTTGCGGATTGTAGGTTGTCATTTTTGTGCAGTTGTGCCCTAAAATTGGAGTCGGCTTCATGCCCCTCCCCTGGTCAGCACAAGTCCTGAGGTCAGAAATCTTACTGCTGGGTATCTGAGTTCCGCAACACAAAGTATAGCAAAGCCCAGGGCATGTGGACAGCATTTGTGAATCTGAGAAGGAAAACAATACTCTACTTCTCACTGACAAATGCCTAAGTACCAAGAATTCTACTTATCTTCTGACTGAAGGGCTCAGGGAGGCCCGACCCACACTCTTTCCTCATCCACTTGGGTACGGCACAGAGTTTTGGGCATCTGAGTGCAAACCAGGGACGGATGTAGGGCTCCCATTGGACTCTCTCCCTTTTTCTATCAAACAGGACTGTCTGGCATCACAAATCCTGTTACTTTTGCGTATCCTAACCCCTGCTCCCTGTCCTGAATTACTTCTTGGAAGCGATCTGAAACCAATCTGAAGCATATGGATGCCTTTTTGTTACTTGTTTAGAAAAGTCCACAGTGTATGATTTGGCTATTCAAATAGGAAGCCCATTAGGTCTTTCCAACTCAGGAACGCTGGAAATTACAAGAGGTGAGATGTTTGGCTGGTCCTTGGCGGATGGGCAAATTACCTAAGGGAAGCAGGATGTGCAGTTACTAGACTAATTGTCCTTCCTGAGACCTAGCTCTCTGCCGAACACGTGAGTCCAATGTGCCTTGGAGCCTCCAAGTCCCTGTGATGCCCCCTCTGACGGGCCACCTGGCTACTCTAGGGGTACCGAGGGGGCTTTCTGACAGTCCTGGCGAGGGGCCAACAGTGGGATGGGTTTCCATTTGTCCTAAGCCCTGGGCCCCCAAAACAGTCCTTGGGAGTCAAGTGTTCCTTTTCTCCTGAGCTCTTTCCTCTTTGTTTTTAAGAATTTGCTTGTGCTAACACGACCTAACTCTTTGCTATCCTGGTTACAGGTTCCAGGAAACCCTGGGGGGCATGATGAGTGGGTACGGCTCTTACAGAAAGGACGTTTCATTCTGAGGCCACGGTCATGGGGGTATCTGGCCGACATGTCCCTTTCAAATTGGGTTCCTTGGGGATTATGAATGTGAGTGCGTGAGCCGGGGGGCGGGTGGGGAGACCAATGGCAGCCTGGGGCATGAGTGAAACAGCAACAAATGAACTTCGACAGACTGAACCACAGAGGCACCAAGTCCCTTCTCGTGGGTGTCATGAAAACACCAACAGATTAATTGATCAATTATCTTTGTTTCATCAACCTAAAAAGAAAATATGACCACGAAGGTGTGGCTTGTGGCTATGGGGCTGGTCCAGGCTGGGGAAGTTAGGACCAAAATAACCTCCAACGATTAGCTCAGCTCCTGCCTCCGAGGCCGCAAGGGGGGGTTGTGCACGACACTATTTTACGCACATTAGGCTACTCAGAGAGAAGCATGAGGCCCCTGGGAGGTTTCAGACCTCACACTGCTGTGCCCTAGGGAACTGGGCCCTTTCCAGAGCCCCCGGCCTCTGCACCTGGGATTTGGGCCAATACGCGTCACTGCCTCCCCCTGCAGACCCTTCACGCTAGCTCTCTACCACCAGTGCAGGGAATCCTTCGGAATAAAGGCAATTAGAGCAGAACCCCTGGTGACAAGTCTGGGCCGACCTGCCGGAGACCCGTGGCAGTCCAGACACACAGCTGTAAAAAAATAAAGGAGGGAGTGGAAGGGGTGGTTAGTGATGTTTTCAATCTAAGAAGGAAGAGTGGGTGTTACAGAGTTTAGTTCATCAGAATCAGCATGTCCTAGTAGGAGAGGCAGTGTCAGTAGCTAAAGAAAAGAACATCATTATGAATGGGTGGGGGCCGGGGAACCATGCTCAGACATGCAGCACACGGACAGGGGGTGCAGGGGGCTTCTCAGTGCACACATGCTGGGGGTGGGGAGGGGGAGGAGGCCCATTTCCACAGAGTCCTCATGGCTGATGGGAGCAACTGGAGGAAGGAGGCCGGCCCGTGACCAGGGGCCAGGACATTAAAAATAAACTTCGGCACGGGCGCACCGTAGCTCGGCACAGCAAGCCCACTCCTGGGAGACTCCCTGCTCACTACACCTTCCTCAGTGAGGCCCCTCTCACCTTAAAGCCTTACTCATGTCCAGAGAAAGGAGGCGATCGTGTTCTTAACTAAGCTTTATTTCTCTCCCCCATAAACTTTATTTGCTCTGCTCTTCCCATTCCCTTCAATTTTATTATTAAAAGCCATTTCCTGCTGCTTCCGGTTCATCTGTATAAGGAGTCCTCTGCTTGTCCCTTTGCAAATGGCCAGAGAAGTCTGTCCCACAAGGGAAATGTGCTTTGATCAGGGAGTAATCATGCTTCCAAATTCCCCTGGCACTTAAGTGATTTTTTTTTTTTTTTTTTTTTTTAGTACTGGCCACATTTTTACCGACACCCAAGGCCATTGCTAAGGTGAGTTTCTAGGGCAACTGCAGGAAACATCTTCAAACATTTCTTGCTTTGCTTAAAACCTCTGGAAGAGATCGCTCTTCAGAGGTGTGGGTCAGTTTCAGCTTCGTTCGTGTGGTGCTTTGGTTTGTCCTGAATGACAGCACTGCACAGAAATGACTACACTTGTTTTTAAGACAGAAACTAACGGGTTTCAACTCCACATCTGCTCCTGCTTCAGATCTCAGGGGAAGATCCAGTTTTTTCCCTAGTACATTAGCCTTGGAGCCGTCACCTCAAGTCTTAAAAGAACACGGTTCCCCTCAGGGGAGTAATGAAATCACAGCATTTTGGGTGAGACTTGGGAGTTTAGAAAATCATAGGCTCCCAGTATTGTCTGCCCTAAGACTCCCAGATTTGGTCGCCTTTTAAAGGCAGGTCAAAGTTCTTAGCACATCTGATACTCCCCTGTTTTGGGGACACCCTTACTTCATACAGTGTTAACACCAAACATCTTTTTGGAAATGACAGACGGCTCTGACCCAAGACCTCGTCCAGGACTCTGGTTGTAAATGGGACTCAAAAAGAGCACAGTGGCCACGCCCAGAAGGCTGACGTCCCCGGAGGTGGTCAGTGTGCAGGGCTCACACACGTGGGGGGCACGAAACGAAAGGACAGACCAGGAACAGAGAACATGCATGCGAGACAGCTGTGGATGGTTTTGTCCGTGTGGATGTCGCCCAGACAGTTCCTCAGAGACGTGAGGCCAAACGGGGACCCCCTCGCATGCACGGGCACACTGGGCAGTTATTCGTGTTAGTCTGGCTTTCGTGATCAACGCAGCCCGTGTGTGTCTCACATTGTGATCTGACGTACGAGTTTCAGTTAGAAGAGAACAGAATGCAGAGGACTCCCAGGGCAGGTTCTGAATAGGTGTTTGGTTTTACAGTGGGGAAGCTGTGAGCAGAGGCTTCCTTTTCTCTTTATGGTAAGCGAGAAATATTTTCACAAGGTTGTGACAGTCACAATATTAACTATTTTGTCACCGCTCTGTGCTTAATTAGGCTATAATTTTATTTCCTTTGCTATAAGGGTCAATCACGTGCTTCTCGATTACAGAGATCTCTAGTCATGGTAACTGCCAACTCCTGCTATGATTTCTTGTCCCCACTGCCCAGGGGGAGGGTCACTCTTAAACAGTGACACATCAACGATCCAAACTGCTTTAATTCCAAATTCTTAAAACTCTCGTTTCAGTTAAGTCCTCAATTTGCATGAATTTTATGAAGTGCTCTCATTGGTTTGGAGCAAACAGAACCACTGTAATGGATACATTTCTCTCTGTAGCCTTTCAGGGTTATAAACAGATACATTTCACATTTTCACGGACATGACTCATTTTAGAGCAACTGTGGTTTTCAGGGCTACCGGATAAAGTTAAACAACGATGTCGCAAAGGTAATTTGCAAAACTGCTTTCTGGGAAATAATTTTTACGAACTATTGGGTAAAAATTCAAGTTGGCCAACTGCGCCGGGGCAAACGTGGTTTTACTATAGATGGCAGTTTGCAGGGCCGAGTTTCTCGAAGTGAAATGTTAAACCAAAGGCTGTCCCAGTATCAAATCGTCATGTCAAGGCTGCAAAGAATGATGAATTCTAGAGGTGAACTGAGAACGAGAGCAAATCTCTCAAATGGCTTCACTCGGGAAATCTGAGACAGGAAGAAACGAGTGGCCCCTAGGTGCCAGGCTGTGGTCCCAGCTTTAGTTCCCTAATCAGAACAAAGAGTTTTACCTTCTGTTCACCAGCGTGGACGACATCATCAGCACCATGCAAGCCACATGACAAAGTCACATGATACGCACGCACATGATTGGTTGAAAGGAAAGTGGAGAAGGTCACATGGAAAATACAAAAAAATTAAAAACTGATGTAAACAATGGGCAGGGAGAAAAAATCAACAACAAAATCACAGACTAAATAAAAGGAGAAATCAAATTAAATTAGCAGCATATATAGGAAACATTGGGAGGACAAACTGCTCGGAAATAGAAGGATAATAAATCAATAAGGGCATTTGGTTAACGACACCAATAAGCATTAGATACAGTTGCAACATTGCATATTAATACATCAAGGAGGGTGTATACTTGTTTGGAAATAGGGAGGAGGTTCTGTCAGGACCTGGAGGTCAAAGTCAATCCAGGAGACTGCTGAAGGAAAAGAAAAAAAGCAAGTTATTATTCACAGTGTCCAGAAATGTCTCGGCATCCTTGGGAAACAAGGGAGATGAGAGAGAACATGGGTCATGCAGGAAAAGTCCCAAGACTGTGTGCCCTGAAGGAACAAAATATTGCATTATATGGAGAAAAGCCATTTCCTGTTTCCCGTGGTGCATGCGGAGAGGGGGATGGGCTGAATAAGATCTGGGGGATGCCGGCCAGAGAAAGCAGTCCTGGCGGTCCTTTCTCACTCCCCTGTTCATCTACCTACATTATCCCGGAGCCCCCAGTGAGATACCTACAAACTGAGCCACCTACAAAGGGGGAAGCCAGTGCAGAAGGGAAGAGGTTGCCTTCTGATGGCTGAGATGATGGCTCTGTGGACACCTGGCAATGCTACTGAACCCCTGGCCTCATAAGTTAACACTCTGACACTGAACAAGGGCCTGGACACTTGGACCATCTGGATACAGTTCTTTCTCCAGACTTGTGGATGCACCGATAATTTGACCTTGACAATGAAAAAAAAAAAAAAAAGGTTTTCTTGTTTGACTTGATCTACATTCCTTTTTGTCCTATATTGTATTTACGGTCAATTTGTTACTGAATAACCTGCCTCGTCAAAAGGCATTTTGGGTTTCCTGCCTTAACTTGTACAGGTCAAGGGGAAGTTCAGGCTTTGGCTGATTGAAGCGGAGAGAAAAAGGGCAAAGAGGGGAGGTGGAGGTAACTTTCTGTCCAAAACACACCACTGTTTAGAAATACTGCGGGAGAAATCCTTTAGCCCAGTCACACATCCCTTGCCACTGTGAGCTGATAGAACCTGTCCGTCCTATTGTTCCACACCACACAGGCTCTGGAACATTCCAACTAACAGTGTCCTGCGGGAATTATATGCAACTGATCGGTTTCTCTTTTGGTGTTATCTAGGGTACCTTCATTCATTCATGAATTCATGATTATAAAGGGATCAACACACACACACACGGGCAAAAATAAGAGACATTCTTTTCAGCTCTACTGACTGGCTGAGGACCCCTGCCTTCCTCTTTGTGATTATGCTCATGGTAAACACAAGCCAAGCCGCTGCCCAATTGTGACCGTCTTTCCTCATATCCCAGGATCCACTGGGACCTATAATTTTGGTCAGTAGTCGAGTGGTGCCAAAAACAAAAAAAAAAAGATAAACTTTCTTCTCTTTTGATGTCACTACTGAGCATCTGATCCACGGACAGAAATGTGTGATGTTTAAAAATTAAACATATGTCAGGGAGGAACATCTCATTCCTCCTTAAGGAAAAATCTGGATTCTAGATGTCAGGGAGGACCAGTCTACTGTGGGACACATTAATAGGACGCGAACCATCCAAGTGCATCCTGCTATGTCTCGCACAGATACCGCCCCAAGCTGGGAGGGACAGGAGCATGGCTGTTTGAAGAAGAAAGGGTTAATTGCATTCCTTTCCCAAACGCAGAAAACAAAACAAAACCAAATCAAACCAAAACCACAAACTCATCCTCTGAGTGAAACCCATGCGAGCACAGTTCATTGTCATCCATCGGCTCTGCTGACAAAATGAAACCTCAAAAAGCGTCAGGAATTAAAATTCATTGCAGCACACACACACAGAGAACACCAAGAAAGCAGACCCTCAGCTATGTTCTGCAGTAGAAAAAAGAACCATTTCCTGCAACACGCACAAACAACCAGGAAACTCTTTTCTTCTCCGTTCAATTATGTATCCGAAACCTTGGCCCAGGGAGCAGAGCGGGAGCTGTATTTCTCATACCGGCTTTCTGCCTTCTCCCACAGACTACTGCTCAATGGATGCGCATTTTTTTTCTGTGCACTTAAAAATATTATAAAACCTAAACCCCCACACGGCTGTGGACACCACTGTACACACACACACACACATGTCAGCGCACACGGGGGCTCCTGTTGACTTGGGACTTCAGGCCTAACCCACAAGCTCACCTCATTACAACATCATAAAGGCCAGCTTGGAACGGGTCACCGTTGCGATGAAGTGTGATGTTTTCCACAAGTCTGGCCCTGACTCTACCCTCCGCAGATGAATTCCAGAACCTGGATCTGGGCTGTCAGCACACAGTCTTGGGCGGGCCCGGCTCTGCTTTCAGGGGCTGCCATTTTCCTAGCGCTGAGGAGGAGGGCTGCGAGGAGGCCTCTCCCTCCTGGGGTGCTCTGTGTACTCCTCATGCCCCCTTGGCCCTGCTGCGAGGCCCCACAAAGCAGGGCAAGCTGTCCAGAAGGAGCAGCGACTTCCCTCCCTGACGCACCCTCCACCTCTCTGCAAGCAGCGTTCCCTCTGCTCCTTCCCTCGTCCTCAGTCTTGGCTACTTGTGCGTGTGCGCACCCTGGAGAGGGGACAGACAACAAAAGCTGGGAGGAGGTGCTTTTCTTTTGTCTCCTTAGTGTTTCTCTAATCCTATTCTGTTTTTTCACATGAAGGGAAATTTGGAAAATTCTCTTCATGCAGAATATTCTTCAAATAATCAACCCAGCCCTTCTGGTGGCACTGGGTCTATTCTCCTGGCCACGCAGGCAGCATGCTTAGGAAACCACACCAGGAAAGAGCCTCATGCATTCACAATGGTTACTTTCAATACAAGGGACAACGATGGGCAGCACTGCGACCCGGAAGTCAGCTCCACGACAAGCAGCAATCTGGCCAAGGGCCACCATAACTCTGTACTCACTAGCCGGTTCTGCGGTTGTGAGGGCAGGAAGAGGCCAGGTTGCTATGGAAACACGAAAGGCAGACAGGCCACGGAAAGGTGAACGAGAGAATGGAGATATAAATTACAGTCATAAGTAAATACCGGAACGTGTTTATACAGGGGTGTGTATGTGTGCATACGTATATATAGAAATAGATACACACATAAAGAAAAAAGAGATAGTGAAGGGAATATTCTCTCACCGCCTCTTACCCTGATTTAGCAATAGAAGTGTGGATATTTTAAGAAAATTATCAGAGATGTTGCTGACAAGTTACTCTCATTCGGCAAGAAATAACATAACCCTCATTTACCCTCACCACCAATTCCAGCTACTACGTGCTGGGCGCTGTGTTTTGTGTTTTTCATACCGAGTCTTTCATTTCCACAGACACCTACAAGAGAGGTAGAATCTGCCCTTCACTGGAGAGATGACTCTGTGGCCACGGAGCTGGACACAGGAGTGGACATGGGATTTGAACCCACGGCTATCTCTGGTTCTCAAGCCCGGATGCTTGTGGCTAGAGCCACGGCCTGGAAAGCACCACGTGGGCGTGTTGGGCCTGTTGCTAAAGCCGAACAGATGTGATAGTGGCTCCTGGGCTCAGGGCTGGAGTCCCCTCCCAAGGTTGTGGGCCTGGCGGGCCGTGCCACCCTGCGGCCCCCTGAGCGCCTGCTGGCCTCGTGCAGCTGCCGCCTCCCTTTGCTCCCCTCCCTTCTCCGAGAGCTGGGTTCCAAACTCCACGCCATTGCAGGCACAGTGGTCTCTCCTGAGTCCCCAGGGGAACAGAAGGACAGGGCGGCCAAATGAAACAAGACGGTAAAGGAGAGAGGCTCAGTGAGGAATGACGAGGCCAGAGTCACTGCCAGACTTAGCGGTTCTGCTTTGGGGTGGGCAGACGCAGCTTGATACGTGCTGGAACGTTCTCTTACAGGGGTGGGTAGGGGGGAGGAGGGCGATTACTCATTCTATTTTATGGACGAGAATGACAAGGCCCACTTGGGAAGGGTTAATAATTTGCCGAGGCGCCTACCGCCAGGCACATCTGTAAGCAGACGCTGTTTATTTTCCTGCAAATATTTACGAGACAAGTATGCGTTTATGGAGAAAGCAAGAGCTACAGGCCTCACTATCTAATTTCGATGTCTGAATCCAACTGTGCCAATTAAAATGAAGGGTGAAAACACAACACCCCAAAGCATTTCTTATGACCCTGCAGAAGAGATATTTTTCTTGGCAAATTCCTTCAGTTTCTTCAAATGTCAGCTTGGGTCCAGCCCATGGAGAGTCCCGAGGACAGAGCTGGGCTGGGCCGCGCCAGCCCCGGGAAGCCCGACTGCGCGATTTTCTGTCCAGAGCCATGCCTGTCACTTGCCTCCTCCTCGGGGGGAGCGAGGCCTCCCATGAATCTGGGAGGCCCCGTGCCTATTTCTCTTCTCATTTGCTTGTCTAAAACCCGGCCCTGCTTTCTGCCAACACAGTTGAATTATCACCTGGTGAAGGAGATAACATTACACAGACCCACTGTGGCTGGTGGAAAGCAACCTGCAGAGAGACGGATGAAGAAAATGATACTCACTATCTGGAGGAGACAATGGAACAGGGGTGGAAGAGCTAGCGGGAGCCACTGAGGAAAGAAAAATGAAAGTGAAAAAAAAGCTCATTGAAGCACATAGACACTGAATGAAAAAATCGAAGAGCTGCTCCGGGGGTGTCAGCGGCCGGAGCTGAAGCGGGGACAGTGAGGAGGAAGAACACCATGTGTGAGGGCAGGGGGCTCGCGGACCCACAGGGAGCTGGGTTCTCTGGCTTCAAGCCGGGGGCCGGTATGCCTGCCAAGCCCCGAGTTCAGGTCAAGGACTGGGCCGGGAGCAGCTGCAGAGACCTCCAACCCTGCCTGAAACAAAGAGCCAACTGGCCAGGACCAGCCGCCTCCACGGGATCCGATGTCGGGAGGACAGGGAACCTGGACCCCAGGGGGAGGTAGACGTGGGAAAAAGGAGGCTTTGGCTCTTCATGTGATAGATCTCTGTATGTGCTTCTTGACAGGCACGTGTCTGCGCTCTGGGCACATACTTAGAGCAAAGCCTGTGTGCCTCACTCTCTGATCTCAGGGTCCCAAAGAAACACAAATGACCGTTCCCCTTGACGTTCACTGCTGGGTGACATCAGGACTGCTGGGCATCCAGATGATACTGTAATGCTGCCGCCCTCCCAAACCCTACAGAAGGTGATTCTCTGGGGGCAGCCGTGAGCGTGGAGACCCCGCAAATAACGCTGAGTGTTAGTCTCACTCTCTTGGAAGAAGGGATCACTGAAGAGACTGGGACTAAATAAAGTAATGCTAACCCAACTTTCCGCTCGGAGGGCCGTTAGAAATGGCACATCTGAGGCATTCTGGACACTGAATAGATCTTTAGTTTTTCACTGTCAGATATTCAGAGGTTGTCCCATCAATAATCACAAAACAAAGTCTCCTTTGAGAGCGAGATGAACATTGGAAGAACGTCACTGTTATCTCCACCATTGCCTTGGCACACTCATAGTTTGGTCTTCCGTCTCTCTTCCAGATGAAGCACAGGCGGCAAGGTGCTTGCTGAACTCACTGTGAGCTCGTCGTGACGTGATGGGCTGGTTCATTCAGGGGAAAGCGTATCTCTCTCTCGCTCCTTTCTCTTGTACTTTTCTTGGCTTAAATCGTTTGCATCACTGTCCATATTATTCTGGCAAATTTATGTGTTTTTAAACACAATATATTAGAACGCATTTAATTTATACTTGCAACATGCCATCTGGGGGCAAAATGTGAAGACAAAAAAATCTCAAGGTGTCTCCTTTGAAAAGCAGACAACTCCTTCATGATATTTATCCTCTGCAAGAAATTGTCTATTTTGCTTCATGGTTCAGAAGCAAATTAGGAGATGACATTCAGGCAACAAGATGCTGTAGGTGTGTGGCTCGGTCATGGAGGAAAGGATGCATGGTCACATCATGTCTTTAGGGCCTCAGCGGCTCTGATAGGGAAGCAGCCCCTCCCAGGGCAGACAGAGTCCGAGAGCTTTCCACCAAAAAGCTTCCTGATAACACGCAGACATCCGGCCTAAAAATACATGAAACAGGGACATTTTCCCAGGTTGGAGTTCTAGTTGTTTGTCTGGAGTCCCTGCTCCTGTGTGACCTTCACACACAAGAGCCATGCACAAAGGAATCTTCAAACAGGTGAGCCCAGCTCTCCGACCCGGCAGCTCAGAAGCCGGACTCTTTGAAGTATTTGCAGCATTGGCTAGTTTCACCCGCTCAACCCTTTGACATGGTCATGCCCCTGCATGTGGGTAAGTCTATTAAAGAACCAAAAAAGCAACCCCATTACCGGCACACAAGGAACTTCGAGTGACAAGCTAATGCAAAATGCACCAGCTCTCACCTATTGCCTCCTAACTGGGGTAGGGGTGGGGAGTAGGAGGGTGAAGGGTTGGGGGTAGGGGGGCCTGGCAGCGACGACTCTCTGTTCAGTATGACAGCTTATTGAGCCTGTACCTTCTCCCCCCTGGGGTGAGGGTGCCCTTAGGGCCCAACTCCAATGTCACGGGATCAGGCATGCATCAGCACCCCAACATCATAGGAGGGGAAAGGTCAGCGGGCAAGACGAGCCAGTGTCAGAGACCAATACCAGCCTGGGCTGGGTGTAAGCGTGCGGCTAAATGGATGGCTGACTTTATTTACCTAATTTCGGACAACCTTTGTGCCTTCTGAGGAAGGGGAATGAGAACTCAGAGAAGTCCCGCCTGAAATGTGCCCTCCCTTCCCAGTAGCAGTGAGTGTGGGCATGGTGGTGTCCGATGCTAGAGCCATTCTCCCCACTGTATCCTTCTTCAGGAGTCTAGCCACCCCCTGGGCTAGGCCCTCACTTCAGCCCCTCTATGCAGGTCATGAGGGTACAGGAAAGACCATCACAACCAACTTTCATGAGCGTATGAGTCCGTGTGTGCTGGCTTTTAAACCGCTCAAGTTCTTGACAAAGGCAGTCAAGTGTAAGGCTCTGCCATGACTCTCCTTCCTTAGCATTTTGATTGTTTAGGCCATAACTTTATTAGATGGTCGAGAAAACGGCTTTGCATGCCACTAGCGATGCGTGCTCCTGTGCCATTCATGGCCTACTAGGAATGGGCAGCTGACCACTCACTCCATCTTCCAGAGGGGTTCTTGGAATCTTGGTACACGTAACAACAAGGTCTGGAGGTCTCTCTTTTTTAAAATTAAACATTGACTTTTAAAACAAAGCATCTGCTTAAGAAGTTCTCACCTTTCTAGGGGCTGAACTGACAATGAGTGAAAACCACTGATGGGCTTTGAAGTCTAAAGACCACTCACTCTGATTTAGTACTCGGCCCCCAGGTGCTGGTAAGAAACTCCGAAGGAAGCCTCATCTCGGCCTTGCTCTCCGCCACATAACTAAGCCGCCGTTCCTTTACTGATAGAATCCAGAAGCACAGACACCGAAGCTCCAATTAAGGACCCAGGAGGCAGGTGTTGTCAGGGTCTGAGCTGCCGCCCAGAGCAGACAGCTGTCAGTCTTGACCTGACAACGCCAATCCAGTCCCCAATCCTGACTCCTTCCAGAACCGGTTCATTCAGGAACCAAGTCTGCTGAGATCATGGATTTTGCACTCGCTCAAAATCTCAGAACGCCTACACTGAGCTACTTAGTTTCTGCTGTTGCTGCAATATTTCTGAATAAATTTTAAAAAGATAAGCTTCCCTGAGTGCCTTTCAGGAGCTAGGAGCTTTTTACGAGAAGAGTGTGCAGTTTTCTGAATACCTTTCCTTCCGAGTCTCTCCGGGTAATGCTCCCCTTCACTATTAGCTCAGCCCAGGAAGAGAGAGGCAGGGATCGGCGACAGTGACCCTTGGGGACATCTTGCTGGGCAGGTCAGACCCTTTTGTGCCCCGTGGAACAGTGGGCTGGCCTCCTTTAACCCTTGCTCCTTATACTTTCAATTTCCAGCTTACGCATCCTCCCCATGGAGAATCCCCCTACGCTTCCGCTTGACGGTGAGGTTACTGAGTGGCCAGTCAGTCTTTCCCAAACAGGGACATGCACGTTGCCAGAACCTAGTGCGGAAGAACAGAACCGTCCAGAAGTGCGGGTTTAAGCGCCCAGCGGCCGTCTGCAGGACGCACCTGTGACCCGGAGCCAGAGCCCACACCATTCTCTACAACTGCAGCTGCTGCTCGGGCCTCCCGGAGCCCTCCAGCCACCACAGGCAGAAAAGGGAAGGGGCTCTGAGCTCAATTCTCTCATCTCCTAAAAGCAAATGGGAAAATCCTTTCAGCTACTTTTTCCCAGAAGGGATTCTGAATCCCTGGTGAGGCTGTGGTCACGTTTCCGGCATCTGGGCAGAAGGCGAGGGGGTGCCGCCGCGGGTGACTCGGAGACCCCCTGCAGACTCCCACCGTGCTTGGCCGGGCGCGCGTCCCCATCGCCACGGGGTAATCGTCACACACAGAAATTAATAAAGAAACACAACTTCAAAGGACACAGAAGTCGCATGCTCTAGAACAGGGCGCGTGTTAGCCTCTGGGAGTGGATCCTACAGACATTGACGAGAGCACAGCTAGACTAAGGTCAGTGTGGTTAGGGCCCGGACGGCATCATCTACTTCAGCCTAGAGGACGAAAGAGGGACCAAAACTAAATTAAGAACTAGAACTAGCGGATGTTAACACCATCGGAACAGATAAGGGGGTAAGAAGAGGCACTTACGTGGAAGAGGGCCGTCTGCATTTCCCATGGACGGAACACAGACGAAAAGAAAAGACAAGAGACAGACCCAAGGGGGAGAAAAAAAAGATGGAAAAGAAATGAATAGAGTCTGCGAAGCACATGGAGCTGGAACTCAAATCATCAAGTTACGTCAAATCCAGAAAGAAGCAATTCCTGTGGAAGGAAGACGAAGCCGGCCTCCTGTTTCTGGAAGAGGTGGGAGGTTGCCTTGCAGGCCTATGGCTTCGAAGACAAGGAAGCGAGGGACTGCCCTGCGTGCTTGATAAGCCCAGGAATGAGAGAGGACCCAGGGAGCTCTGCACCACTCGAGGAGTCTGGGTCTGTCGCACCTGCTCCCGCTGGATGGGTGCCCGGTCCTCCCAGCGCAGCAGCCTGGGTATGCAGACGGGGTCCCCAGAGCAGGGCTGGCCCAGCGCAGTCGGTGGGACACGAGGGAAAGCAGGGTACGCGTGGTGTGAGGAAAGAGGGAATGATGGAGGAAAGCAGACGCCATCCCGAGTGGAACAGGAAGAAGCGCTTCTCTCACAAGAGGCCAAAAGGGAGGGAGACCCTGACGCGTGCTCGTGGTGGGAGGGAGGGGGAGCGGGACACAGAGGCCTCAGCCCTCCTTCCCCTTTTGCATTACTGGGGGGGTCTCGCTACTGCACGCACATCCCATAGTGGTCTCCTCTTTTCTGTGATGTAATCTCTCTGCTGCATCAAAAATCCCACGACTAATTACACGACCATCATCGTCTTCTTCAAGTCACAGGGTGCTTTAGGGCCTTTGTGACCTGCATCAAAAAGCAAAATCTGGGGGCGCCTGGGTGGCTCAGTGGGTTAAGCCTCCACCTTGGGCTCAGGTCATGATCTCAGGGTCCTGGGAACGAGCCCCGCATCGGGCTCTCTGCTCAGCAGGGAGCCTGCTTCCTCCTCTCTCTGCCTGCCTCTCTGCCTACTTGTGATCTCTGTCTGTCAAATAAATAAAAAAATCTTAAAAAAAAAAAAAAAAAAAAGAAAAAAGAAAATCTGCCAGATCCCTCCACAACCCGCGTCCCTGGCCGGGTCCCCTTCAGGAGGAGCCAGTGATTTCCTCCCCGGCTGCGATGCTAATGAGCGGGACCAGCTACTGCGACAGCATCACCAAGCTCTTTGGGAAAGACCGCATAAAAGGGGCTGGGGACCAGCCGTCGCTGAGGGCCAGGGAGCTAGGAGGTGAGCCTCCCTGAGCAGAGCCATCTGAAGCACAAACAGCTGCATCTGAAGAGAGGATGGGGCAGCTTGGGGTCCCGTCCGCCCCCCAGAAGACGGTGGGTGTGGGGAAGAGGCCGGGCGCTGCGTGTACTTACGGACTGGCTGCGTCTTGAACTCGGAGGCTGTGCTGATCTCACCCAGACCCTTGCCGTTGAGGGCCGCCAGCCGCACGGCGTACGTGGTCTCAGGCTTCAAGCCCACGATGGTGACGATGCCTTCCATGTTGGCTGTTGTGAGAAGAGGAGAAGGATCACCAAGGAGGGAAAGCCTATCGGCGTAGTTGCTGTGGAATACAGCGCGGCGGGTCCTCGGACCCTTAACCTGCTGTCACCACGTGATCCAGCAACTGCTCGTCTGGGGATACACACAAAAGCTTTGAAAACAAGACCTGGAACCGACACCTGGTGCCCACGTTCACTGGAGCATGGCTTACAACCTCCGAAGGGTGGAAACGACTGCCCTGTCCATCCGTGGGGATGACTGGGTGCCCAGGACGGGCTGTGGACTCAATGGACAATCAGTCAGCCTTAACAAGGAGGGAAGCTCTGACATGGGCTACAGTGTAGATGAACCCCGAGGACGTCAGCTAAGTGAAATCAGTCAGACACAAAAGGATGGTGGTACGATTCCGCTCACACATGTCCTGGGGGTAGTCAGCTACCTGGAGATGGGAAGTAGAATGGCCGTTGGCGGGGCAGGCGGGAGGGGGGACTGGGAACTCCCCAGTTCGTGTTGAACGGGTGCTGAGTTCAGGACCACCAGAAAGTTCTGGACATGGAGTGTGCTACATCAAAAATAAAACTAGAAAGTTCATTAAACTTGAATTTAAAAATATATACATTTTATATTTCATCTAGTTGTAGCTATGACAAAAAGAAAAAAAAAAGCCAGTTGGACAGATTGTAACACGGGACCAACTCGCCATGAATGTGGTGTGCGTTTTCAAAGGAAGTTAGGGAGGTAAAGAGGTTGTCTTCTCCTGGCTCCAATCCTGACTCACAGAAATTCCTCCCAGGCCCCCTACCCGCAAACTGAAAACAGTGATGAAAGCTTTCTGGTGAAACAAATTCTCGGTAAAACTGGGTTGGGAGGGGGCTGCTCCGTCACCACAGATAGGACCAGAATTAAGACTTTCTACAGAAACAAAACAAGCTTCACAGACGTGGGTAAACCCCAAGCAGAGAGTCAGACACAGTTATACACTCGGTCCTTGGGGCAAAATGGTCTGGGCTCAGAATCTTCCAACTGCAGGCATCCAAGGGTCACCTTCTGAACTTCGGGTTTGGAAATATATCACAGCATGGATTTAAGAGCAGACTTTTTACTCTCGGGCAGTTTGTTATTTGGTCAACACTGTTAAGTACATGACAGTCCCTGAGTCCATCAGGCAGGACAGAGGGTGGGTGATGGCAGAGAACCCACAGCGCGGGACCCCCAAAGGTGCAGGGCAGGGGTGGCCGGACTCCTCTGGTTGTGCCCAGCACCTAAGCAGGGCTTCTGCTTTGAACGTGCTTGACACGGCCTTGCCCACCTTGGCATGGTCCTGGGAAGCAGGTCCTCGAGTACCAGGGCACGGAAGGCCAATAATTCTAGAGGAGATGCGAGCGTGCCCTAATTCTCAAGGACGGGGATGGGGCTGCAGCCCGGGGAGATGAACGGCTGGCAGGGCTTGGCCTGTGGCACCCTCAGCAGCTGACAGCAGTGTGCCATGCCACCCCCGGGGGCTGTCAGGGTGCAGGGCCTGGGGGGAGTGTCTGCCCAACACGGAGCAGCCCATCCTCCTAAAGGGAGTGCCCACTCTTCCCTGCTTACCTTCTTTGGCATCATACCACTTGAAATGCCACACTTCCTCGCCCATGGCTCTCCACTCCGCCTTGTATTTGAGGATGGGCACCCCACCAGTGGCCTCGGGCTCATCAAACTGCACCTGTGCTGTGCTAGAGTATGGCTCCACTTGGTCGATGGACGGCGAAGATGGGGTGTCTGTGGGGAGGGCACAGATGGAGACCCTGGTAAGCCCCACCAGGTCCAGGACAGAACTCTCGGCCACAAGGCGAGTCTCTCATTGCTGCTCATTCTTGGGAATCTTATCACCTAGATCCCGTCCCCCAGCCCGCCTCACCATATGACCCTCTCCCCGTAGGTCCTGTGCCCACACCCTCCAGCCTCCACAGGCTCCCTGCTTTCTGACCCTCTCTCTCTGTCTTTGGCCCCCCAGCCCTCTCTTCTTTCACTCTCCTGGTGTCACTGAAGGGCATGGACCAGGCCAGCAAGGGGAAGGGTAGTGCAGCCATGAGGGGGCTCACCTGCTTGGACAAGGATGAACTCCAAAGACTCCTGCCCAATGCGGTTCACTGCAGTACAGTTGTAATTTCCGAAATCGTTTTCGGAATCTGGGGTCACCTTTGGAAAGAAGGAACTCGTGGGTTCTGAGTGTCCCAAGCAATGGCCACCAACTCAGATCTTTATTTATTGGACGAATTTGTAAAGAAAAGAACCAGGAAAGCATGAACCACAAGCTCCAACCCAACCTGAAGCCAGAGAGAACTGCCATAGGGCCAGCGAGAAGGGGCACCCTTGGCCTCCCGGGCCATGACCCGGCCCCAGGGAGAGAAAAGGGGCAGGGCTGAGGCTCAGTTTCTTCTGTAGCCAATGGCTCCTCTGGACAGGATGCCAGAGAAGCAAGTGAGAAGATGTTAGCTGCATAGAGGAGCCGATCCAGAGTTGGACGGTGCCTTCTCCCCGCTCCCCTGCCCCCGCCCCGACTCACCTCCAGATAGCTGGCGGAAGGGGTGTTGTAGATCTTGATATTGCTGTAGTTGGAGCTCGGTAGCAGCTGACCGTCTCGAAACCAAGAGATGGTGGCACTGGGGTAGGCAAATACCTCGCATGTGATGTTCACCTGGTTCCCCTCCCACGTGTACACGGCCACGGGGCCCTGCAGCTTGGGGGCATCTGCAAGGAACCGCAATGCCGATCAGGAAGACCACGACTACATAGGAGCCCTGCACGCCCCGTCTCCCAGCCCCTGGAGGGCGGGTGCGCCCCAAACAGAGCCAGTGCTGGGATGTAGTGAAGGTCAGGCTGGTTCAGCGGTCCTATGAGCCGCGTGGGAGGACAGAAGGGCTCGTGAGCTTGGGACAGTGTCAGGGGATGACTTGGGGACAGAGCTCTGGAATGGCTCGGGCAACTGCCACCGGGAGCATGAGCAGAGCCAGTGGGATGCAGCTCGGGTCCTGGCTGCCATTGTCCCCTTTCAGCCCAACCCTGCATAGTCCCCTCCCCTCATCCTTCCACAACTGCGGCTCACACTGCACTTCCAGGTACATGGACTGGGAGTCCTGGCCGATGGTGTTGCTGGCCGTGCAGACGTACTCTCCTGCGTCCGTGTACTGGATGCTCTTCAAGGTGAGGGATGACACGCGGGCATGGCTGTGCACCACCAAGTGCCCGTCCAGAGTCTGCCGGGAGGGAAGAGAGCGCGTGAGAGCCCACGGCGGCGCGGGGGGAGGAGACCGGACCATCTCTTGTCTGGGACCAGTCTCACTTCTCTCCCCAAGCTGTGCCCATGTCTCTTACTTACGGTCCCAGCTAGTGTGGGAGGCTCTGGAGAGCGCCACGGGAACTCGAGTGCATCCAAAATAGAAAATGGGAAGCAGCCTAGACTCCGTGCCAAGATTGGTTCGGGACAAGGACAAGCACGGTCCCCCAAGACGACTTTGGCACATCTAAGATGGAAGCAAAAGCCCTGGCCAGTGGAGAGTCCAGCAGCAACAGCTCTGCGTCCTGAGACTCTGGGAAACCTGCACCCTGTGCTTTCCTTCCAGGCGTCTGCCCATCTGGCAGCTCCATGGTGCACGCGTGCATAATGGGAAATCAGAGCGCGCCAAGTGCAGGCACTTATACAAGAAACCTATATTTCTGCAGATGCCTCGTCTTCCTGAAGGCTTAAAAGTGAAATAATTTCATTCAAGAGAAAGTCCAACAGCTCAGTGGTGAGGAACTGTTGAGCTGGAAGTGAGGGTCCCTGGGTCCCCTCTCCAGGGACAGTGGCACAGAGTCCCAGGCAGCGACCACCAGATTCTGCATTCCAGCCCTTGATAACGTAATTGGCTTCCCCAGTCTCTGGAATTCCAGTGATTGGTCAAAAGGGGAATAAGCCTGTGATCCCTAGGCAATGGGTTCTGGAATATGTCCAAGGGGCTCCTGCCTTGATGCTCGAAGTGAAATGGTTGCCAGCCTAGGAAAAGTCTGGGTGCATTGCCCAAGGTCAGATCCTCAAGAAAGTTGGTAATCTGAAGAAGGAGTCTCGCTCCTCGTAGGCTGGGCCACGCTCTTATCTCTAGCACACGATATTCTGTGGAGACGGCCAGGGGAGCGCTCCCCATATGGCACCTGTCGTCCCATGGGGCTGGGCCTTTAAAGAATGAAAGAACACCTGTTTCATTCAGGTTCTTATGATGTGCTGGTTTGGAAGCCCGAAACCCAGAATTGCAATGTCACACACAGCCGGTTTGGGCAGCTCAAACACAAGGTTCCATGGGTCTTGTGGGGCAGTCTCCACAGACCTAAGGGACCCAAGAAGTCCCTCTGACCATCGCTAATGGAATTAATCCATCTCAGGCATTTAAGCCCCACTGAGGTAGGTATCTGGAAGCTGGACACCAGTGCAGGCAAGGAGGCAGACGGCCAAGCAAAATCACCACTGCCTACGGGCCATTCTGCTCTCAGAGGAGCGCCCGAAGCCCAGGCTCTCACCCCATCTGACCCGTAGATCTGCAAGGCTGACTGGCTGAGGAGATGCTACACATTAGTGAGAGGTGACCACAGACAGGTGTGGAGCACTTGACTAGAAAGCCGTGAGACATCGCAGGGTCTCTGGATCCTGGGACCCCCTTTATTGTGGGCTGACAGGGTTGTCCCAATACACCCCAGTGGCACTTCCATGAGCCATCCAAAAATGAACCCATCAGTCTAAGCGAGTGGCATCGAGGGCATCCCTGCAAACACCTCTAGAGGGCTGACCTGACCGGTTTGCCACTCCCAGACACAATGGGATAAAGGCAGAAAAGGCTCGAGATCTACCCCCTGCCCTTCTGGTTATCTCAGTGAGAACACAGGTTCAGCCAACCGTGATACCAGCCAGCGGCTGAACTATGATCGTGTGTCATACAGACGAGCTTGTCCTGGGCTCAACACCCATAAACATGGAAAACTGACCAGATCACTGGGAAGTCAAGAGAACATTTCCACAATGGAAGCAATATTGCAGCAAAAGATGCAAAGAGAGTCATGTAGGGAAGAGGAGGACAGTAACAACAAAAAAGCAGGGCATGACCAGTCTACTCAGAATGTTCTAGAAAGTGGTTGAAGAGAAGTTTGGGAAGTGGTTTCATTGACAGCCATGATTTCCTCCCCTTCTAGGTGGTCTAAATTTCTCAGTGTGGAAAATTTTCTCATTTCATGGTGTCAAGAGGCCAGAAGACACTCCTCTACACAGAATTCTTATTTCACTGTGGCTCACGACAGGATTGGGGATGGGAATTTGTCAGATGCCCAGTTCACGCTCCAAGGGGAAGCACACAGACTTCCAGTGCGATTAGACTGTTTCCCTCTTTACTATGGCACCAGGACAAAGGCAAGGAGTGCCAGCTATGAGCCATCCAGGTAGGGGTCCTGCTGACAGTTCAGCCTTGCAGAGGAAGCAGATGATCTCTGGGCAAGAATGGAAGGACGGCTGGGACAAGAAGACCCTGTTTTGCAAAAATAGCAATGTAGGGCAATTACAGTTACCTTCTCATCAAAACATTTTTTGCATCCCTTGTTCCAGATGAAAGTGTTAATTTTCTGAGCTTACAGAACAAAACTGGCCATAGCCCAAGCCTTCTCTGGAACTCATCTGGACTTAACGGTCTTTGTCTCTGAATGAGACAAATAGGAAGGAATGGAACTTCTGAGCCCAAGGGACGGCACTCCCTTGAAAGTCAATTACATCCAGAGTGAGATACTCAAGATAAGGATACTTCTGGAGAACGGAAGTGAGTTGTCTGCTTTCCTGGGAGTAAATCTATTACTTCCACTTAAAATTCTCCTACCCTCCCTTAATGCTCCCTGATGAATCTCCCCTCCCCTTCCAGCCAGGTCCACATCAGAATAACAGGGGAAGATGCAGAAGGCCAAGCAGAATGAGATCTGTAGTAGCTCAGAAGCGGGTGATAATGAACCCTTTTCTCCCTTCCCCAATCCCAGTGGGTCCGTGACTTTGGGGCAATACAACACCAGGATGGGAGAGCACGGAGCAATTTCAGCAAGATGCGCACTTGACTATGGTCCCCATGATGAGGAAGAAGGTAGGATACGAAGAGAGCTTATCAGACACTAGGTTTGATCACGACCGTGTGTTCACGTGCAGAAACTAGGATCAGTGCCCAGGGACAGGCAGTCAACTCTTCAATATTAAACAGCATTAAATATTTATAGCCACGACCTGAACACAAGAGTTATGTGTTCCGAATAATTATCATTTCTGGGAGACCAAGAGGACCGGGTTACCTGATTAGGATATAGTGTATAGGATTCCCGTAGTCTACATTTATACTATTACAAGATGAAAATTTCCTCTGGAGAAGAGACAAAAGCTAGTTTTTAAAGAAATACTTGTGGGTTGGATCCTCGAACCCCCTTGGAAGCATACTGGTTCTTATTTCACTCTCTGTCACTTAATCACACAAATCAGTGAAAACAACGATAGGCGTGATTGTAATTAGGGTCTTGGGTGGGTAACATTAAATTCTTAAGATTAATATTTAGCTTCAGTTTTCAAACAAAGTCCCACATTCCCCGAGCTGAAGCAAGTAGTCAGAGAAATCTCAAGGGCTAAATGCTACGGACTTCTAAAAAACATACAACCGCTTGTGCCAAATCATGCTCATCTCATAAATTTAATGCTCTGTGAAAGTGACATACGTGTGTTTAGCAGTTTGGGCAAAACAAGGAGAGATGTCGTCTGCATTGCTTTGACACGAAATGGGATGTGATGTGATCATTTACCGAGACCAATCATTATAAAACAAGCGAGCAACAAGATGAGTTGAGCTGGGAAGGGTTGAGTGGGTTTTTAGACCACTAACTCCGTGACTTTATAACCCAAAGCCCCATCAACCAGGTGAGAGTAAAAAAAAAAAAAAAAAAAAAAAAAGTCATTTCAAAACGCCTGGCCTGGGAATTGGAGCGATTTACTTCTGTAAGTATAATTACCTGGATGTGATTTTTACCAGCACCAGCAAGAGAATAAGATCCAATTTTAAGAAGTAATAAGGATTTTGTTCATCCACTCCCAACACAGCTTGCTTGCTCACCCTAGAACGCCACTATTGCTAAGTAACGTCTACCACTATCGACCTATTCTTTAATCTAACTCTAGGACTAATTAGTTTAGCATGTCTGGTTATTGAACTGGAATGGTGAGTTAAGCTAGAATGCTTTCGAAAACTAAAGACTGGCTAGTGGTCAGGTAAGCTATACCTCTTGCTTCTCTGGTCGAGTCCACGAAGCCTGGAGAGAACAAGATATAAAACACAACAAGAAAGCAGTAAAATTTTACAACATGTTGCTTCAGAACATTGATGTATAACACTGTGTTCCGTGCACATGCAGCTGCTTTTTTTTAACTCAGAACTTTGTCCAAGGCCCACTTTCAATGGTGTGTTTATCACCCACTTTAAATTAGGAGGCAGTTCATGTTCCGCTTTCCCCCCCTTCTGCACATTATGATGTATCATTCACAGGAGAAGTCTTTCCTAATCTTTGGTAGGCATACACATGGACACCAGCAGACGGGTTCAACTGCTTCTGTTTTAAAATGTCTTGAGCATTTCTCGTCATATTTGAGGACACCCCTAATACGAACCACATAATCTAGAGATAAACGTAGAGGGTAGGTTTCCTCCTTTGGATTCTGTTAGACAGTCGATCGCAAAACTACGAATGCCATTTTGGGCTCATGCATTTTTCTAACTCGTTGCATGCATCCTATTAAAAATCAAGTTTGTATCTTAAAAAAAAAATAAGAACTAAGAAAGGAGAAGAGAGGTATATCAGGAATGGTGAGTATGAATTCGTTAAAGTTGTGGGGCAGGAAACTTTCAGGCCAGCACACTCTGTTGTGGCCGGCTCCAGAGGAACGCCCAGATGGCATGCGGGCTCGAGCGTGCACCACCGTCATCCAACATGGCATTCATGAGTCAACTCAGAAGCACAGAGGCTTGGGTATTTTCCTGCCCACATTCAGATATTTTACTTATCCAGCACTTGGGAATCTACGATGCTGACGGCGTGTCTGTTTTCATACCGGGATTGAAAAACATCATACCTGCATTGTTCTTTTTATTAGACGGCACAAGTGCCTGGTTGTCCCTGATGTTCAAATAGAGAAAGGAAAGAACAGAGGCCAGAGACACAGCGATGCAATCCAGGAAACGCAAATGAGTTAGCGAACATTTAGTAAGAGTCCACTAAACGGAAAGAGCTTTTGGGAGGAACGAGGAGGGAAATGTTGGATGATGTCATGTGATGTCGAAATGAAGAAAAAAGTGAGAACAGAGGAACGAACATGCAGAGACCAAAGGGACAGTGGGCCAACATGTCAAACGTGGTTGCCAAGTTCACATCACTGAGAAGCTTGTCTGTCACATGCCAGGGCTGTGTGAATCAAGATCGTTTTTTAAGGGCTATATCATATGGAGTTATTTGCTTTTCAAATCTGAGTCTTCTTGTTTCTCTCCCAGATCACTACGGTTTTGTGGCTTTCAGAGTAAGTAGTTGCTAGGAACAAGACGTTTCCGGTAGCCTGACCTCTGGCCTGTGTGCCTCAGGGAATGGTCGGCTATACCTTGGCCCTGACAACTTGGTGAGGGGGTGTGGCTCACCTGAGGACAATCTGATACGAACACACAGAAACACGTTAGGATAGGACTGATCATGCTCCAGAAATTTTACGTTCCAGGTTCTTTTCATTCGATTATCTCACACACAAGTCTTTAGGAATGTGTAAATAAACTAGAAGAAGCCCCCTACCGTTGTCCTCAAGTGTCCTCTACCTGTGCCCACAGGCAGAATATGCCAGACTCTAACTGCTCAATACAGGCACCCTTTCCAGTGTTTACATGCGGGCACCTAGGCTGTATGGAAGGGGAATTCCTGCCGGTGACAGAAAGATCTGGTTTCCAATGAATCCAGAATTTCAAAGCTCTCTCTTTTTTGTGGCATTTGTGGGATACTCCACCAGCTAAAGGCTCAAGGCTCATGAAATTCCATTTTTTGTCTATCTCTTCTGATCTCAACTCTTTGCCCCTCTTCTTTTCCTTAAATATTAAGGTTTCATATGAATTTCTTTACCAGTCATTTCAAAGTCATGTTCAAATAAGCACACAGCAAAAGTGTTCTGCTAGCGACAGATTGTGCAAGTCAGCCTCCAAAGGTCTCGCTGAGTATGTAAATGGCACGTGGAACTTAGCCCCGCTCACTCACATATCTGGCAATATTTAAAATGAGTCTAGGTAGGATGAGCGATGAGAGGATGGGGGTGGGCATCCTTTCTTTGCCTCTGTGTTATCACAAGGACCTCCAGACACGTGGGTCAAACCAATCCCTGTTATGATGTTCATAGATGGTTTGTCTTCTTTTTGGCCAACATAATAGAGACTAAGGAATGGATTAACTTTCAGACAGATGATCTACCCTAATGGTCTTCATGACCCAAATTTAGCTTAGCTCTTATAGGCTGGTGAGCAAAACCAACCCAATTATAACTGAAGCTTAGCAGACTAACCGTTGGTAGTCTCCAAGGAGCAGCCGGGCTCCACCTAGAGACATGAGCAGGCAGGGTGTGGCTATCAGGCTCAGTGATGGGCTCTTGCTTGCTTTCCCCCCCAACTTTTTTTTTTAATGAAGAGGAATATTAGGGTCCATTAGAAAGTTATTAACTCTGTGCCTATGGTTGGAAGCCTTTTCTCTCCTCTTAAGAAGAGACACCCCTACCTAGACTTAGTTAAGTCTAGACAAATACTAGACTTAACTAAGCAATGAAGCAAAAGATCGAGCTGTTCTAACGAGCTTATACTGTAACCAACTTTACTGAAGAAATCATTGAGCCTTCCACAAATGTCCTCATAATCACGAGGAGCACCGTGGCGGTAGGGGCTCCATCTGAGCCAGTGACCCAGAGGGAAGTCATGAGAGCATTCTAAGGGCTCTGCACTTGACCTTGTCCCAGTTGACATTTTTATCAGCAGCTTGCACAAAGATGTTTCATGGAAGTGTTCATGCGAGACTGGAGGCAACGGCTAATACCAATGCTGGACTGGGAAAGGGTACCGAGCTGCCTGCCTTTGGGCCTTGTGAAGTGGGGGTCACCACTCTTAGACCTCATTACTTTAAAAACACATAAACAAAACCAGGGTGGGGGGCTGGGTGGGGGTGGGTCCACGTGGCTTGAAATGCCCGAGACCTACAGACCTCTAATGACAGCTCTGAGGAAAGCCAGGAAGATGGACTAAAATGTTTCTGAAGCCAGAAAGAGTTTGTATTTGTTTATGTGGTACTGGTGGTCATCAAAATGATTAGAGGTGGCTGCTGGCATTGAGAGGGAGGGGGACCGGCAGTACCATCCCAGGAAGGGAGAGCCTTCCCCAACTGCCATAGTGACCCCAGAAAGGAACGTCGGGCTGCAACAAACAAAACAATTCTTAGCAGAAATACAAAATTCTGCATTTTCGGTGAAGCAATCAATTGCATAAGAGCAGGACAGGGGGTGTGTGGCCTCAGTGCCGTCTGTATAAAAACGAGCTGAGCATTTTAGTTGACCACAAGCTCAAGAGGAGGAGGGAGAATGAGGAAATGGCGACAGCACTAACACTTCAGCTGCCTGACGGCGCCCAGAACAGGGAAGCGTCCAGAACAAGGGAACAGGTCACTGCATGGAAATCCGCATTAGCTACACCGGCTCCACAAAACTTTAGGGGCGCGCCCGGGGACTGAAGCTCTCTGGGATGCGACCACCAGGAAGCACGAGAGGTTGAACCCACGGCATGGGAAACGGGGAAGACCAGTGAGTGTGTCTAAGGGACAGAGAGTGGAAGCCAGTGGAAAACCCAAGAGTTCTCACCCAGAGGACTGAGGGGCAGAGGTGGGAAGACTGAGCAGCGGGCGGGGCAAGGAAGGAGACCTTCCGGATCATCAGCACTGGCCAGCTGCCTGGAGAGGACAGACACCGTCACCCTTCACGGAGGGACCACGAGTCTTTTGGGCAGATAAGCTGAAAAGTGAGTGCCGGCTGAGACTGGACAACCTCAAACGGGACCCTCCTTCCCGACCTCTAGGATCCCAGCATTGTGTGTGGTCTAATTCTCAGGAGCCTTCCTGAGCTTAACAGGTAGATATAATCGTCTGTTTTTATCTGCTTCATGTACCACCCTGACTTGAAAAAGGACATTGTTTTCTTTCACTACTACAACACTGTGCCTCTGATCATCTCGATCCCTGATCATATACGATGCACCTTCAGATGGGGGGGAACACGAGGGGCTGCTGCCAGATGAAAGTGAAACTGATTACCCAGAGTCCGGCTGGCATGAGCCAGCCATCTTTGTTCTCTTAATTATGAGCTCTCCATGGCGTAAGATGGATGTCAAGCCTCTCTGGCATTAATATATAACTAATAGAAATGGCAACTTTTCTACGTAGGATTTCTACGTAGGCAAATATGTTAATACGGTGTCATGGCACTGGCTGGTCTGGAGGACTTGTTCTAACATGGATTCACACATGTTCCAGTAATGTCGCTCTGAGTAAATTTGAAGGCAGTCCGTAGTCAAAGAAACCACAATACAACCTATGTGGCTGGACTTAGATAATTATCCCAGATTGAGACAAATGATCTACACTAGTAGCTGAATTATGCAACCCTCCTTGGTCGGAGATGGTCTCTGCTGGATGCCTTTTGTCTCAATACTTAGTAAGTATGAGTGTGGACTGGTGCCTGGTTTTTTTGTTCTCATTCTGTAAAAATGACTTCACAGATACAGGCCAGAAGTGCCCACCTATGAAAGAACTTAGGATAGACACAAATCTTAATAACCCTTCCGGTCTAGCTTAGCTGTGGAGCTATTCCTAGAAAAGACATCGAATTTAAAAGCATCATTCATCTGGGATAGATATTATTTCTGTCCTTCCCTGTAGGTCAGCGATATACACTGGGTCATTCTGGACAAATCACAAGCCTGACGTAGGAACATGTACCAAGCCGCAGCCCTGTGGTGTGAGCCCTGAAATGTACATTCAATCCACGTAACACACACGATGGGAGCTGAAATCTGAGCTTAGGGTTTAATTCCAATGTTGATAAAGAAAGTGTCCAAGTAAACACCACATTTCTTAATCCAGTTGGTTTCCACAATATCGAACAGCATATGCGAGTTTCAAAAATACTTAGCAGTTCCTTGAGCTTTTGTTAAGTTGAATTCAACTGTGGAGTTAAAACTTGCAAAAAATAATGGGCTTTTTGGAACAGCAGTTTTTGTTCCTTTTGATTTCATTTTGTCTTTTATTTGTGGGGCAGAACCAGATCCTCAAGTTCAAATCCCAAATGTGGATCTGCTCTGTCACCCTATCTCTTTTTTGACTTTGAGTTTACCCTCTGTAGGGATTTCCTTTACGCAGGCAGAAGAGTGAAGATTTATCAACTGTGACATTGTGGTCAATAAGCAATCCCTTATAAAAGTTCTTTAAGGCTAAGGCCATTACTCCTGACCAGGTGACAAAGCTCTGGCCAACTAAAATGAAGCCCTATACTACAGGGCATATGAGATGAGGTTGGAGAAGTACAATAAGAGGGTTTAAGTTGCTTTAAAACGAAGCCTCTTCTTCCTCCTGCTTTTGGCCCACTCAGGAGCAAAGGGCTGCTTGATGTGGGGATACCTCAATCCGTACATACTGTCAATGACAATGACAGCTTTCGGTGGTCTATAAATCGATATGCTTTAAAGCGGAATCTCCCCAGTCATTTCAAACTACCAGGAAGCCTGCTACCATGTGCTACTAAGAGCTGAAGCTGAGTGCTTAGAATGTAGCGGAAAACCCGGTGTGATCATCATCATGAAGAAACTGCTAATTATTTTTGCCTTCAGAACAAAATGATATCCAAATGTGACTGGAAATACAGGCAGACACAAAGGCAACCAAGCTTTTGTGCATAAGTGCATGTACAGCGTGAGGCTACGAAACACAAGGAGAATTCATAGGGCTCATCCCGATCCCTGCTATTTCCAGGACACATTCCCGTCAGGACTCTTTAGAGGATGAGAGCTGGTCCCCCAAGTTCTTGGCTTCTCCCTGCTCCTCAGAGCTCCGTAATCTTGGGTTTGAAAAGCACTCCCCACTTCCTCCCCAGAACGTCTAACTTGACCACGTCCACAAACCTCACAGCCCGGCAGATCTATGCAGGAACCTGTGGCCCTGCCCCTGCACAGCCATCTGGCTGGAGGATGGAGGCCATGGAACCTGGCGTGGCCTCCAGGGCCCGCATCCCATCTTCTGGCTCCCCGAAGAGAACGGGGCCTGGGCAGACATGACCTGCTTTGAGCCTGCACCCCATGACCCTGAATTCTTGGTGATGTCATACCTTTTCTTCACTGCTGATGTTCCGGGTAGAGGTCCTCCAGGTGATGGTGGGAATGGGGTCTCCCGAGGCTTCGCAGGTCAGAGTGACTTGTTCCTCTAGCTCCATCGCGGTCTGGTTCTCTACGTAGGTGATTTTGGGTTTTGCTGAAAAGATAAGATATGTGTGAGTTTGTTTGATTTTTTTTTTAGTTTTCTGGGTTTAAATTCAACCATGCGCCCACTCATCAGGTTATAGACTTATGGAGTATAAGACCATATTCTAGGTGTTGTGGGAGCTACAGAACTGAATCCCTGACGGACGTACACTTGAGTAGGTGCGTGACACCATCAGTGTGCGAGCAAGAAACACAAGATCCTAGAGAAAGAGCACTCAGAGCAGAGGGTAGAGAAGGCAAGGGCAGAGGTTGAAGACTTCATGAGGAGAAAGCTTTCAGGCTGGGCCATGAGATCTTCAGTACGTGGAACTTTGGGATGGAGAGAGTCATTCTCAGTGTAGAAAACTGCCTGACTGGGAGCAAAGAAGCAAGGACACGGGAGGAGGGCAGTGTGATGGGGGCCGGTGTTGGCGTACAGAGGCAGGGGGAGGTGGGGTCCAACCCAGGCGCAGGGTCATGGCCGCCTGGTTATGGCGCTTGCTTTGAATGGTCTCCGGGCACTGACAGAAGCCCACTGGTGGTGTTTGATCAGAGGACTGAAATGATCGTTTGTACTTCAAGAAGGCTAATCTATGAAGGAACTCAAGATGACTGAGAACAGGGGAAACCTTGAGGTGAGAAAACCAATTTGGAAGCTCTGACAGGGCCCCAGATGTGGCGAAATAGAGCCCCGAACTGGGTGGTCCCAGAGGAGGAGGGGATGGAGAGGCAGACGGGGAAGGGCGGCTTGGAGAGAGGTGCTCACGAAAGGTTTCGCTTGAAGTGCCAGATGAACAGAGGGCAAACGAGGCATGGCAAGGACGAAGGAGGGAATGAGAAGGAGTTCAAGTGACTCTGAGCTTCTCAGTGACTGGGAGAGCTGTGTTAGCTTTGACTCAAGCAAGGAAATGGGGCGAGAGAGGAGTCGGGGGCTGCAGAATGGGCTAGGGTGGAAAGGAGATGAGATGGGTTCATTTTCCAAATGTTTTGGGTAATGCCAGAAAACATGAGCATTCAAAAGAGGAGTTAAATGCTAAAACATTAGAGAAAATTGACTTTTCCTGATTTAAAACAATTATACTCTGAAATTGCAAAACCTTCCACAGAAGAGAAAAGATAACACAGCACAAATGTAACTTATTTCGCTAATGGGGAAAAAGACGAGGCGAGATAAACAAACAAAATAAATAAATCAAATTTATGGATAATTTTTGAAAGAATTACATTTCCTTTATATTCAAATTCATACGCCGCCCGTGAGTAGGTTAATAAACTCCTCCCTATACACTTCCTACAAGCTGAGGCCCCCCCGGTTCTGCTTTTATGTCTAGGCTGTGCATTTTCTGCAGCAAATACCTGCTTCTATATAAAATTATCCATTTAGTCAAATATTCTGCTACAGTTAATCTGTACTAAACAGCTTGCTTGGCAAGTCCTTTTTTGATGGCAAGAACCCAGGCACGTCTCAATCCAACGGGGCCAAATGATCACAAATTGGAACTGACGGAGATCACTTGAGCGAGATTTTCTCACAGGAAGGTTTTGTGTTGATCTTGATAAACAAGACTTCCAAGGTGGTCACAACTCATAACGAAAGGACTGTTAACTGCAGCCAGACAGGAGGTTTGAGAAAGATAAAATAAAAGTTGAATTTCTACACTGTTAAAATCACAGATTGAAACGTGTAATGAAGGGGCACCTGGGTGACTTAGTCAGTTAAGCATCTGCCTTCGGCTCAGGTCATGATCTCGGGGTCCTGGGATCCAGCCCTGCATCGGGCTCACTACTCAGCAGGGAGCCTGCTTCTCCCTCTGCCCCTCACCCTGCTCATGTTCTCTCTCACCCTCTCTCTCTCAAATAAATAAAATCTTCAAAAAAACAAAGTGTAAAAAAATAAAATTCAGCCACACAACCGAATTCACTGAACAGTTGTTTGAATTTTTGCCCTCTTGAAACCCAGACGGATATCGTGACCTAGACAGTGTTTGCTGGACTCTTCCTGACCCCTAGGACTTCGTCTGGGCACCAAAAGGTTAACAGAAGACAGATAAGGGATAGATAACATCTACTAATATCTGGTTTGGCAGCTCCATTTCCCAGAGGGTTACAAAGGGTCCACTGCACAAATCTTTAGAAAAAAGCAAACTATATTCTTACTAAAAGCATTATCAACAACAGCTGATTTTGTATAGTCTACAGAGGGCTGCTGGAAGGCGGGCAAGCTTCTCACTAATGACCTAACCTCTCTGTACTACAGAAGCAGCAGGCCCATTGTCAGAACTCATTGAAAGCTCAGAATATTGCCTTGGAGTTAGAATATCAATATAATTTATTGTCCCGATCAGGGCACTCTTGAGAGTGAAAAGGGATGCTCTACGTAACTCCCCCGGGACAAGGGCATCATCAGGCAAACAGGGGCAGATGCAAGGTCACGTCCCTCTGCACACAGCATTTAGAGGAACATCTCCAGGTTTTGTCTTCAGATGGTACTTACACCTTCTTAGTTAACGTCTGTTGTGGGCCCTTGACTTTGGATCCCCGTTCTATTTTCTGCCTGCTAGAGTGGGACTGACTGCCTCCGAGTGTTCCATTGCACTTCTCCCCACAGACCCTCCTGGGAGCACAAATGTCCATGGGACTTTTCCCAGCACAACGGCTCTTCTCTTCTGGCAAGCCCATGGCTCTGTACCCTGCCACTGAGGGGTGGTCTCGTCTAGTTCCACCCCAACCCAGGCTCCTGCATTCCCCAGCCCAAGGAGGGCTCTGGGGCCCTGCTCCTCTGAACTGAGAGGCTGGACATGACCCATTGCAGCTAACCTCGGCCTTTACCCGGTGCTGTAACTCACAAGGGCTGCTTTGGTCCTAAGGGGTCAGATAGGCAAGGCCACTGGTGAACCCGCCTCAGCCCACAGCAGCGTGAGACCTCACGAGCATTTGTGTGAGCGTAACAGGAATATGCGGAGAAAAAATTTCCTTTTTTCAGGAAAGCAATGGAAATTCACTGCCAAATTTAAAGAAAGGTAGGATGTAACTACTTAGTAAAAGGAGCTTCTGGCTGATAACTAGGGCAATGCATGCTAGAACATCCCCCTTTCTTAGGGAAAAATGATGTCGGTAAGGTACAATTATGGCAGTCTCTAATTTAGACGTGCCCCGTACTGACTAATTGCCTTCCCGTCTTGAATCACAGGAGTTCTGAGCTCTGGTTTTACAATCCGAGCTACTGGTTTCTGTGTGCTTCTGCCTCACTGCTGCCAACTCGGCCTCCACTTCCCCCCTAGCGCTGGGCCCCGCAGCCAGCCAAGGGGAAGAGGCAGGACAGACAGTAAAAGGAGGAGGGAGCCCCACCTCACCCGCGCCTCCCCACCGCATGTCCTGGCCTTACTACCAATCTCCGAAACCAAGGGAGGCCAGAGGAGGAGGGAGAGGAGGTTAAGAACATGAAACGGACAGGAAAACAGTGTGTAGGTGAGCAAGCTTCCCAGGAGGCTACGTGAACTCCCCCGAAGCTCACAGAGGGGCTCGCGTTCTCGATGGGGGCAAGAGTCCTGGGGGTCTGTGCTTTACTTACTTGTCTCTGCAGGAGTCTGGCCACCTCTCCTCTATTTGCTTTTCTGGATAGCATCTATCCTCCCAGCTGTGGTCTTGGGGAAGAAACTGTGTGTGGGGGGGTGGGTGCAGGAGGGGATGCCTGGTGAGGAAGTGGGTAGAAAGACAAAGCCTGCCTTGCCACAGTCCCTGCATGTGGAATTCACTTCCTGCCTCGTTAGCTCCGCCCCTACACCTGATCCCACTCTCCACCGGCTGCACGTGGCTCCTGACTCAGTACCCACGCCTCCTTCGTGGGGCAGCCACCAGCACCAGAGAGGCCTGCAAGAGAATCCAAGACCTGTTCCGTGTGATCCACGGTGGCAGAGGGGGGGCGCAGGGAGGGCACGCTACCTTCAACATTCCCAGCCATCCCATCTGTAATTCAGACGTCATCTGTGTTAAGTGGAGCTTCACGGGGTGGTAACTTCCCTTTGCTAGCTCAGGGAAAGGGACTTCCAAGCCAGCTGCCTGGGTTGGAGCCCTGATTCCTTGAGTAGGCCACTCAGTTCTCTGGGCTCAGTTTCCTCACTTGTGACATAAGGACAAGGATGAAATCCACCACACAGCCTTGTGCTGCGGATTACAAGTCAGTTACACACAGGACTTCAGGTGGTGCTTGACACATTAGAAGCGCTCACTTCCTGTCGGGTATTATTATTACTTTATGGTGCTAACACCTGAGAATTTCCCAAGACAAGGGATAGTTACTCATTTCTAGACTCACGTCCTTACCATCTGCCTGTGCTTCATTCACATAAAACAAACGGCTCTGCTTTCCCTTAGGCAAATTCTAGCACCTACAATTTGCCACTGTCCTCGTAGCTGGGGGTTCACAGTCCGTCTGCAAGGAGCTCACGTTCAGCGTGGCACGCATCCTTCCTGCCTCCGTGTCTGTGCCCGGGCGGCCTGGGGTCCTCGCCCGTGGCCACCCTTCTTCACCTGGGAAGCCCTGCTTGGGAAACAGCAAACGGTTTGTGATGGCCTCTCTGCCTTCTGTCTCTCATGACCACAGGTCTGCTTTTCCTCTAAAACACGGTGCCCATTGCCATTCCAAAGTCCTTACAATGGGCCGTCATTAAAAATTTCAGTGTCGGTCATCCGTGAGCCCACGGATGAGGACAGAGCACGTGTTACTCATCCTCAACACTTTGACAATGGCTGGGCCCACACAGGCACTCAAACATAGCCGGCCATTTATACGCTTCACCGTTCCTCTCCCTCCCCATGTTTGTCAGAGTTAAAGGACCACATCATACTCATATCTCAGATGCCCCTCGGTCCAGTAACACGGCTGCTTCATCAGTATCTGTTCAACGAAGGACTACCTTAACAATGCACCTGTCTTTACAATGTGGAAGAAACTGAAACCCGAGGGAGTGGGGAGGAGAACTAGATAAAGAACTGTCAAGAATGTTTCCCAAGGCAGGGACACGTGGGTGGCTCAGTCAGTTAAACGTCTGCCTTCAGCTCAGGTCATGATCCTGGGGTCCTGGGCTGGAGTCCCGCATCAGATTCCCTGCTCAGCCGGGAGCCTGCTTCTTCCTCTGCCTCTCCCTCTCCCTGCTTGTGCTTGCTCTTTGACAAATAAATAAAATCTTAAAAAAAAAAAAAGATTATTTTCCAAGGCTGTCAGCTTTCACTCTCCAGTATATCCATTACTATGAACAGAACTGATGACCTGTTTCTAAACCCAACTGTCATTAACAGAGAAATAAGATTTATTTATGATGAGCAGGTCCAGCTGCACCCGTCAGAGGTCTACGACAGGCCCAGCAAGCAGGTCCCAGAGGGTTCGCCAGGCACACGCTGTAGCGACCTGGGAACCACATGAACCAGAGCTGCCCTCCGGTGCCTGGTGGCACCATCTACACTGAACCAGCTTCCCTGTTTTTTGTTTTGTTTTGTTTTGTTTTTTAAATGAGAAACAGAGAGTGAGAGAGAAGTGGGAAGGAGCAGAGGGAGAAGGACAGAGAGAATCCTAAGCAAACTCCATGCTCAACTCGGAGCCTCATGACGGGCTTGATCTCATGACCCTGAGATCATGACCTGAGCCGAAATCAAGAGTCGGCCGCTTAACTGATTGAGCCACCCAGGCACCCCATGTCTTTTTAAAAAACATGAGCAGGAAGTGTTGAAAGCCAATAGGTTAAGCATTTCTCTGCCACAAATTCTCTTTTCAAGGTCAGGTCAAGATGCATTTCAGTTCCAAATGAATGGAAGTTAACTGAGTTTATCAAGATGGAGTGAGCAGACACGAGGGGCTCTTCTCATGGCTTTGATGGCACCGTTTCACACGGGCCACAGAAAGAAGCAAGGGACACACAGGCAGTCAGCCGGTTGGTCCCTAATGTTTACCACAGGTCTTCCCGAGGCCAGCACTGGTTGGAGTGGCAGAGATAAAGCAGGAAAGAGACAGAAAAGCCAGCAATCCACTATCCCAGGGTTTACCTGCTTCTTGGAGGAGGGAGACTACAATCTCCAGGGCAAATATGGAAATGAGGCCAGGTCGGGTAGGACAAGTGTGGTGAAGAAGGTACAGTCAGATCGATGGAAGCGTTCGGGGGTGGGGGGTGGGTGATGCATTCGCCAGGGCAGTGCAGGAAGGATTCATTGAGAAGGCAGGTTGAGGTGAGAGGTGAATGGTGCAGAAGGCAGCTCAGAGCAGATGTGGGGGAACGACATTCCAAGCAGAAGAGGTATCAAGTGCAATGTCCCGAAGACAAGAAAGCAGCTCTGTGTCATCTGAGCCACAGAAGGAAGGCCTGAGGGGTTAGAGAGTTTTCGGTGTGGAGCAAAGTGGAGGAAAGATGAGGCTGGAAAGGAGGGCAGGGGCTAGCTCGGGTTAGGTCTCGCAGGCCAGGGCGGGCCGTCTGATTCTATTCTGGTTGCAACAGGAACCACGGGAGGATTTTAAACAGAGGATGGTGCTTGAGGTCATTCTGGCTACTGTGAGGCGGGGCTGAGGGGGACCACATGGCGGGGGAGGACTAGGTGGGGGGCTGAGAGGCTGTCACTGACCAGGAGAGGAGGCAGATAACGTGGACTCGGGCTTAGGGGGTGGAGCTGGCAAATGTGGTTGCAGCTGGGACAGATTCCAAGGCAGAGAGAATGGGGTCTTCCTGTTGGACCGAGCGTGTGGGGTAAGAGGAACTGTGGCAGAACAATGACCTTGACCTCCACCGTCCTTACCGAAGACTTTGAGGTGGATGGACGCATCCTGCTCTCCGGCCTTATTCTCAGCGATGCACACGTACTCTGCCTCGTCACTCTTGTCCACCTTCCTGATGGTCAGCTCGGAACTGTCATCGCTGAAGATGTACTTCTCATCTTCCTCGTTCTCTATCTGTTCCCCATCTCTACATGGTGCAGAAAAGCCAATTGCCATGATTTTGGCCACGGAAGTACAAGGTTTATTTTTAACCAGTCTCCACGGAATGCAGACTGAGCCCACGGAAGGACTCGGTCTTCACACAAAGTCAACACCCCAAACTGTACTTCCACACACAAACCTTTGCTTCTGCCTAAACCTCTGTTTCTCTCCAAGGGCTACACACTGCCTACAAACCTCCCAAAGGGGGCCTCCCAGCCCACGCCCTCTGGCTCTGCCCCCTTGGAAGGGATCCAGTGCTGGAGGGGAGAGCAGCTTACAGAACAGTATCCGTGCTACAGCTGCAGCTGATCCCAGCAGCCCACACTAGTGCCACGGACACACCAACACGGAGCTCCACGCTCCCTTCTCCAGGAGCCCACGATAAAAGGCACGAGCCAAGTTCTTACTTTGTCCAGCTCATGGTGGGCTCTGGGAAGCCTTTGGCGTCGCACACCAGGGTGACAGACTGGCTGAGGTTGGCGGTGGCATTCACGATGCTCTGCCTGGCCTGGACGGTGGGCGGCACTGAAGGAAAGAAGAGCTGTAAGGGGGGGTTGTGAAAACCTGGAGGAATCCAGTGGCCTGGAGAAGAGGCACTTCCGGGGGACCTTAGGTCGGAGGGTCACGGCCTAGAGGTCAGGAGCTCTGGGCAGCCACAGAGTTTGTATGAGGGAACTAAACTCTGATGTGTCCTAGAAAATTATTCCAAACTGAGTAAGTCATCCACAAACATGCATCAGTGGCTTTCGACAATACAAGATATCGTTACATGTAATATATAATATTGGTTTTTAATAAAATAGCTTTAAAAGCTGCATTAATAGGTCTTACTCCTTTTAAAACAGGATTCAACTCATAGCAGCTAGATATCTTGAAGCGTTTTCTCAGTCAATGCATATGAATCTTATAGCTACCACGGTAAGTGGAACCTGACGCTTGTTGGACAAAAGGGGGCTCCTGATTCTGGAAAAAGTTGAAAATGCCTGTTCTCAGTGCTTAGATGGTTAATAGCAATTGGAAATGGTTAGATGTCACCAGCTCACCAAGTGACATTTCTCTGGCACTGTCATAAACAGCCCTGTGCACAAACAGTTTTTACCAAAGGAATGAGAGGGGGAGAATTTGGCAAAAAATATGTATCAAAAGCCAAAAACAATTCAACCCTAATTTACTAATTTTCTTAGTACTGACATTATAATTTCCTGTAAACATCTTGTAAATGTCAGATCGATTCCACGGGTGTGTTTATTTGACACACAGCAGATTAAGATTAATAAACCCATGGCCCATGATTCTGACTACTCTGAGGACTGAATTGATAATAATATTTTCTTTGAACGTTGAACCAAGGGGCACTAACCCCACAATCATGTTAACACCAAGGACAATGAAGGATGAATAAGGATTCATTAGAAAGCACGGGGAAAGTTTCCAGTGCTGTAAGACAATGAAGGACATTCAAGAATGGCACTAGAAGTCCCCCGGGTTAAGGGAGACCCAAAAGGCAAGTGGATTCAGAAAAAAATCAAAACAAGCCAGAGGCTATCCCAGGAGGGACTATTCACTTGAGACGGATGCGTGAGTCAGGACGGGATTATTTAACAGACCGAAGAGGAAGTTACGGAGCATGATTTGGGGGTGACCAGGCAGTACTAATGGAGAGAGCAGGAAGAACGGGATCTCCTCACCGTTCACAATGACCTGAATGTCCTTGAAGTTGATCTCCCCCCGTGCCAGGATCCTGCCCTCGCAGCGATAAGTGCCCTCATCTGTTTTCTTGATGTCCCGGATCTGCAGGTAGTTGTTGGACAGGACTATGAATCGGACTAGAAGAGACAAGAGGCGGGTTCATCCAAGGGTCAGTCAGAGAACTCTGGAATTTGCAGGAAGGTTGCAGGGCTCTTCTTCTCTTCCCTAGCGACAATCTAGAGCTAGGGGTAGGGTGTGAAGGGGGGCAGTGGCTTTGCACCAACATCAGGACATGCGGCCCTGGCACTGACAGCCAAGAGCAAAAGTCTACAGGAAATTTGTCTTTTCTTTGGAGACAAGGTCAAGCGCCTGAATGTACAAGCTTGGGACATTCATGCATTCGGGACCTGAAAGGCACACAGGGCTGTGGGACACCGGGATCTGAAGCTGGGTTGGAACACCTCAGAGGCTGGCTGAGGTGGAAACCCTAGGGGACCCAGGGCCTGGGTGGAAGGGCAGCCTCCAGGGAACTCAGGCCTCACCGTCTTTCGTCAGGACGACATCTCGGCCTTTGTGTTTCCAGATGATGGTCGGAGGGAGGGAGCTGACCACATCACACACGATCACGGCATCTTCCCCCTCCCTGAACTCTTGTGGGGTTGGTGCATTCTTGAACATGAGCTTCTCTGGAAAATGAGCAAGAGAAGAGTGAGGGCAAACAGCCGCTTCCCCCTCACTGACCCTTTTCCGCTGGAGCCACACTGCTCAGACTGCAGCTGTAGGCGGTTCTCAGTCCAAACACACGGTGGCCCAAGAGAGGGTCCCGCCCCGTCCTTGGCCAAGACGCCAGGCAAAGCAGCTGGTGTAAGCAGGGGAATGTGCTGTCGATGTTGGGCAGTCAGTGTCTATTCACGGAGTGCTAAATTCATTCTACTTCGTGTGGAAAGGGTCTACGGAGGTAAAGGAGTCTGTCAACCACGGGTCCCTTGCCATGTGGGACGATGCTAACGAAGCACAAAGCCAGGTGGAAAGGACTGGCACGACACCTAGTCTACAAGGACTGGTCATCAGTCCTTCCTCCGTCTCCCACCCGTCTGACACCCCAAACCCATTTACCTAGAGCAGAGAACATTTTGAAGAACACAACGGAGGAAAGGCAGGCTTAATGGGAGTAAATACTATGGCAATCAATACTGTTCCATTAGCTGTCACCCACCATTACACTGGCCAACGAGACAGAGGCATGATAACAAGGTAATGAGAGGCCACTTCCAGACTGGGTTTCACTGACAATGGGAACCACCTGCTCTGAGTGGCCCAGAGAGTTCAGATAATAACCCCCCACATCCCACTGAGCCTTTGGACTCCATTAGCAGCAGGGGAGAGTGAAATAAGAGGGGAAACTTGAATGGTACGATAGTCAGCCAGCGCCTGGAGAAGGGAAGGGGAACCCTTAGCAGCCCTCAGGGAACTGTGTAATTTGAATTTAGAGAATGGAGGCCAGAGGGAGGTAGCTGGGATCCGTGTGAACTGGGGCTGTGAGTTCTGAGCTGGCTCAGGATCATTTAAGAACATGCTGGAGCTCTCAGCTCAGTTCAGAAAAGACTCGGGGAATGGAAAGGAGGAAGGCCTCAGGGGGCCCTCGGCTGACATCCCACTCTGCCTGCATCTTCCTGGCCAAAGGAGAGGACTGGCAATACGGAAGGAGTCGGGGGTGGCTCTTACGGAAGATCTTCACGTTGACCGTGGCCTCTGACTCGCTGCCATCCTCGCCAGTGACCACACACTTGTAAATGCCAGCGTCGTCAATGTTAGCGTTGTAGATGGTGAGCGTGGAGGAGGAGTCGTCGTTCCACACCACGGAGATCCGCTGCTGGTTCGGGGTGAGCTTCTCTCCGTTGGGAGAGAACCAGGAGATGTCTTTGTCTTTGGCATCTCCTGCCACTGAAGAGGAAGAGATTATTTTCAAACCGCAGGAGTTAAAAAGACGACGTGCCCTCCGGGGTGACCGAGGGTACTCAGCAAGAGCCACGAACAAGAGGTCATGGGGCTCGATGACCCTGCAGGGAGACCATTCATGTGGAGGATGTGATACCGCCTTCCCCTGGCTTCTGTGCTTTGTCGTGACACACACACCACTACTCACGGTCCTGGAAGGAACTAGATGACCCCCTGTGAGTACGTCTCTCCTTGGTGAGGGAAATGGAGAGGTATTTGCTGAGGACCTACTGTGTGCCGGCTTCTAAGCAAGCAGCTCCAGCCTCCCAGAAGACAGAGCAGAGGGGATTCAGGTCTAGGATCTGAGCTCAAGGGACCTGGCGAGTCTGCGCCAACTAATCAGCTTGTTTGGGAGGGCTCAGACTGTGGTCTCCAGAGCGGAGAAGGGGACACCAGCTCATCTAGGAGCGTGGATTCCAACCCGTTTTATTCTAGCATCCGGCCCCGCCAAAACTGGCACGACTGTCATTTCAGCAGCCCCTCTCAGACACATCCGTCTCCGTCAACCCTGCAAGGAAGACAGCCCGAATCACCCATGTGTCCTCTCCCTGGGCACCGAGGAGAGGCGGGTGCTGCTGCATGGCCGACTCAGACCCTGTGCGGGAATGAGGGCTCCAGGCTCTCTCTGCACCGCGCCCTTCCCCAGGCCACACCACCCAGCCCTGCACAGATGCTTAGTGTGGAAATGAAGCCGTCTTCCTTTCAGGGCCCATCATGTTTTCAATAAATATCGCTATTTGCAAGATGTGCTGTGGGCTCCACGGCTGCATCTCCAGATCATTTAAACTGCTGTAATGAAGGCAAAGCTGGAGTGAACACATCCAGCGGCCACCAGGCACCTCGTCCAACGCAAATCATGTTCGCATTTAAAGGCCCCTCCCTGCCAAGAGCTGCTCGCTAAATGTCACAGTTTACACCTAGCTCAGCTCAACGGCCCTGCTTCTTCCACGATCCGAATCCCAGTCCTCTCACAGCCGGGGAATCCAAAGCCTAACCCGAAGCTTCTCCTCCACAGGCCATTTCCTGATGATTTCTGAGCTGTGGAAATGGGGCACATTTTCTAAACAAAGAACAAGGGCACCAGATCTGACGAAGCCCGGGGCTCCAGCGCGGGGACCACAGGATGGAATATAGGTATTCACGACAGACCTGGAAAACCGGGGAACCACATCCTCACGGCACAAGAGACGCCAGTGTGCAATTGTCTTTCAGGCAAGTTTCTGACTTTTCTGGATTTTCGTGTCCTGGGAGATTCTAAGAAATAAGCCTTTCGCTGACCCCCTGATGCACGGTTCTCCCGAGTCAGGCAGAGAACTCCGGCTGGATACAGAGCAGGGAATCCGGGGTGATTCGCTATTTGGGGACTGTGCTGACTTTCCTCAGGAAATCCCTAGCCCTCCTCCACCACCATGCAGAAGCCCAGAGGACATTTCTCTGTGTCATAGAAGCCCTTCGTGAGGGGAAGGAAGAGGGCCCGAGAGCTTCCCTGGCCCTCTGGCCACACCACCAACCCTCCAGTGGGGCAGCTCTGGGGGGGACTGGCCGCACACACACACGAGCCACGGGCTGCCGCTGGGTTCACTGTCTTTCCTTAAATGCAGTGGGGCTCAGGGCACTTGCCTTGGCATAAGAAGAATTTGGATTCTCCAACGCTGATTTCTCCTTGGCTGGGGACGATATCCACCTGCAGAGAAACTGAAAAAGACAAAGTCCAGCTGAAACACACATCAGGATTTTTGAGAAGGGAACCCAGAGCTTTCATTCAAAAGCGGGGTCTCCCTGCTCGCATTAAGAAAGAGTGAAGGGAGGATGTGGTCTGGGTTGAGAGCCTGTCACCAGAGAATCCACGGTTCCTTTGCCAAAGCCGGGAATGGACATGGTCCGGATCGTTCCCTGAGGAATGGCGATCCCCTATCAGACAGAGCAGGGTCCTCTGGGAGATTTGGGGTGACACCCCCACATGTTTCTGACCTCTTGAGTAGGCCACGGTCCTGCTCTGAACAGAAGCACTTCTGGGATTCAGAGAAATAACAGATCAGTTATTTCTGGAAATCAGCCTCAAGTGTCCCCACAGCTGTGTGACAAGGAGGCCTGCCACTCCTGACCTCTCCAGTTCCCCATGTCACCGTGCTTCATGACTACAGAGGAGGAGTCACCGTGGTGACCCGGACGGATCTGGAAGCAGGGGACGCCTATCGCTCAGCCCGCCGGGTGAGTAGGGGACCCACACCCCTCTTTCCGTGAGAGGAGACGGCGCACAGCCTGGTCACGGCAGCCAGTCAGGTGCCCTCCCGGAAGGCTGTAGTCTGTGCCCTGAGGAGATCCCTGTATCGCCTGGCTACCTGCGCTGGATTTTCCTTTGACGATTGCCGTGCTCTGTCATTCCTCTCCACCGATAAGACAGAACACACCGCCCGGCATCCCACAGACCGCCAGATGCACTGGGTTCCTCGAGTATCTGCTCGGAGCAGATAACTGCTCCTCATGAAAAGATAGTTTTAGGGCAGGGGAAAAAACTGCTTTTATCCATTTGGATTCAACCTCCTTCTGCCTCCCCTCCTCTTAGGGAAAGTAAATGTGAAAGCTAAAAGCTAATGGACATTTGGTTCGACGCATGTCGCCTCTTCAGGCAGATACGGAGGAGGGCCGGGACCAACAGGCCGGGTAATAGAGACTCAGTGAGCCCTTCCTTCCAACGGCCATTTTCTCTGCGCCGCAGAACCGGGGCCTGCTGGTTGCCATGGAGACGGACTCGCAGGCGGAGCTGCGGGGCTCAGTCTGTGCTCCGTGATGAAGGGGCCACAGGGTACTCAGCAGAGCACACGGATCAAAGGGCCTGCAGGGGGCTGGCCAGGGGAGCCGCGGGGAGCACCGGGCCACTGGAGGCGAGACCCTGCTCGCCACCAACGACGAGGCAGACCCCAGAGAAGCCGCAGAGGCAGAGAGGGAGGATGCTGAGTGCTCCACCATGAGAACTAGAGGGGAGGCTGGACTCAGACCTCCCAGTGCTGGTTTGGGGGCAGCCAGCCACTTGCACACTGGGTTTACTGCTGATGACTCACCCGGGGCCCAGGACTGTACTCTCAGAGAGCAGAGAAAGGGCATCCCCTACCGTTCCCAAAATGCCAGAAAACACACGGAGCTGAGAGGGCAGCTCACAATGGTGTCTCTAGCTGTGGTGCTTCTATCGTCTCCTCTGGCCAGAGCTAGGTGTGCTCGGCTCCAAATCGACGGAGCCAGGAGGAGTCTCAACCAGCACCATGTTCCACTTGCTTCTTTCCCACGCGAGAAAGAGAAGGTGCCTTCGCTAAGGTCACCTCTGTTTAGGGCCAGGGTGGTGGTGGCCGTAGAGTCTAGGCCCCCCGGCTCCTGGGGAAGCGTTCTTTCCATTACAACGCTGCCTCTCTGAGTAGAGGATAAAAAGCTTCCACTCATTCGCTTTAACGAACAATCTGGAGAACATGAGGCAGGCCGCTCGGGTTCACCATCCCCTAACAGAACATAGCAAGCCCAGAGCTGCTAAGGCTGTTTCCATCCCGGGGCACAGGGCCTGATGGAGAGGGCTGCAGGCCAGTGCCATCCATCGTGAGGCCAACCAAGACCTTTCCACTCTGTCCGCGGCTCGCGTTCCACGGAACGATGGGCCCATGAAAGCCCCGGAGCCGTGCCTGTGCCATCCGTCACCTAAGTAATGGTCCTTTCTGGAGTTTACTGGGGCATTCTTTAGAGAATTCGAGGCGTATTTCTGCCGGAAAGGTTCACGGGCCCATATGCCGAGCATCAGCCGCCAGCTCCGACATATGGATCCTGTTATTGTCAGAGCCCTCACTGCCTCGAGAAGGATATTCTTATCCCAAGTGAAAAAACAGCCTTCATCTTTTCAGCTCTTTTCAAATGGAACATGACTCTCCGGGGGCCAAAGAACATGGCGAGGCTCAAGAGTTTCAGACTCAAATGTGGCCCGTCTCCTCCTCTGGGCCCCGGAGAGTGATCAGAAACAAGAGTTTCAAAGGAATTCCCAGCTTAAGCAGAGCCCACGCATACATTCATCATCACAGAAGGTTTTTAAAGAAGACATGTCCGTTTAAACTCCCGGCACACATGGAAAAGGTAGCGCGATTCCTCCTGCAAAGCAGCAGAGTCAAAGCTGGGCCAGAGGAACCCCAGACTCTCTGAAAGTCAACGCTTGGATGTTTTCCACCGAAGCACAATAGCTTATGACTCTTCCTCAAACGCGCAACCTTGAATTATTAGGTTTAATAACGGTACGTGGAAATCCGGCTCTACTCTCCAAACCCGTTCCCCCTGCTTTGTGGTGCCCCGTTCTCCTTACTCTATTAGGCCTTTCATTGTTTGCAATAAAAATTGCTCCCGCAACTTTTGCCTTTCTCCGGTTGCACATGTAAGGGGAAATTCCTCACCAGGCATAACTCCTACCTTTAAAGACACCTAGGAAAACCCTTCTCTGTGAAAAAGTATTTCAACTCTTGTTTTGCACAAATGCTCTGCAAAAAGGCCATGTGTTACCCTTCCCCCTCCTAGATGCGTCCAGAGATGCATGCTGACATGCACGGGTGTCTGAACCCAAAGGGTCACCATCCCCCATGGCCAGATCACAGGTTCCGGTTTACAAAACATACGTCATTCCTTCGTCTGATGCTCCCAACAGTTCAGAGACATAGGAAGGCCTACCTGATTGTCTCCATCCTATACAAGAGAATTTTAATGCTCAGAGAAGCAAAATAACTGGCCTCGGGTGACTCAGCTAATGAGCAGTTAAGATTCAAAATCATCTGATCCCCGCCCCCCCCCATTTATTTATTTGACACACAGAATGCATAAGCAGTGGGAAAGGGACAGGGAGAGGGAGAAGCAGACTCCATTGAGCAGGCGGCCCAATGCAGGGCTTGATCCCAGGACCCGGGATCATGACCTGAGCCAAAGGCAGATGCCCAACAAACTGAGCCACTCAGGCACCCCCAAATCATCCGATTCTAAGGCTCCAGCTCTTCCCTCTACACCCCACAACCACTACTGACCTTTGGCTGGCCATCTCATAGGCTCATGATGACCTAGTAATTACCATTTACTCTCTTTCCAAATCATGGGCTAGAAGGAACAGATTCTCACAAATTGCTCTTTCGTCTCTACCCTGGTTAACTCTAATGACCTCTTAGCGCACATAGCTATATTATATGATCATAGCATTATAACTCCGATTTCACAGATGGGGAGGTGGAGGCCCAGAGCCATAGTAATAGTAATGGGGGGAGTCCAGATTCCAACCCAGGCTGGATGGAGTCGAAAACTCCAGATATTTCTGCCATACTCTTCTATCCCTTGTGAATAGACAGAAAAAGGGTTCTCTTAAGAACAGAATGACCCCCCTGCCCCCGTACTCATCTGATTTAAAAAGTAAAATAAGCTTGGGGGAGATCTGTACGTTTTCAAATGTGTTTTCCGTTTAACTGTTTTTTAAAAACCAATGCTATGTTCGCAAAGAGGCAAAATTAATTTAGCAAACCGTTTTAGAGGTAAATAGAAGTTTGGGCACTCTCGACTTTCTAGAGAAGCAAGAGAAATTCCTTTAGTTGCTAAAGAAAAGTGAATTCAGATTTTAGTTTATAAAACATGCTAAGGCACTTATCGGGAGAGGTGGAATTCTTACCAAAGCAAAGCAACAGAGAAATATTATTCTGAGTTAAAGAAGGAGACCACAGATTTCACTGGAGTCAGTGACTTCTTGCTGTAGTTTGATTTTTACCGGTTTTCTTTTTCAAGATTCTAATGTGTTTGACAAGGTAGGAGCTAACAGCAGAATGCAAACCCAGGTGTCTCCCACAGATAACTGAAAATATTTTCTTGTTAAATGGTGATAAAAATGCTAATTACTGAGGAAGACAGACTGCAGGTGTGCAGCAGGCCCCGAACCAAGGTAAGGAGATGCCCTGGTCACCCATTTAAGGGTGAACAACAGAGGATTAATGTGATCAGTGACTATGCACCAGATAAGAGAATTTTCTAGAACCTATTTAATAACAGCCAAGGATTTTTGAAAAAGACATCAAAGTGTCACTATGCACTTACTTTGTTAGCTATTGTTCTAGAAATGAACCTTGCATATCACCGTTCTCAAGCACTTCCATGGAGAATTGTTTTTTATTTTTCAATTATAACTGAATGCTAACTCTCTTTCATGTGACCGTACCAGTGGGAGATCCAGATGTCTGGACCAGGAGTGTAACAACAGAGGGGCCCCCACTTGCCTCTAGTAGTTTGCTCTCCTTATGAGGAAAGCACCTGAGAGAACATACAGGATAGCTTGAGTACTAAACCAACCAAAGTCAACGAAAGCAAAGCCAAAACCTATATGGCAATACTGGCGAATGGCTGAGGCCCAGGACTCTGGACCAGACTGTTGAGTGTGAATCTCAGCTGTGCCACTTACTAACTGTGTGATCTCACCATGTGTTTTAACCTCTTGGTGCCTCTGTTTTCTTATCTGTAAAATGGGGACTGTTGGAAAGGAGGAGGACTGTTGGAATGGAGGGCTGTTGGAAAGACAAAATGAATTAATATTTGTGAAGCACTTAGACTAGTGTCTGGCACATAATAAACATCTTATGCTTGCTGTGTATTATTATTCTTAACAAATCTTCGTTAACAACCCTTACTGAAGAAATTATTTTGATCAC